AATTTGGGTTGATTGAATGTACTAGGTTGGTGCAAATGAAATTTCGTTTTTTTACAAACATTAAAGTCATCCAAAATTTTTTTTGATAACAATTTATTTAAAACAATAAGCATCATTATTATCTATGACATCCCTCCAACGTTGCTACAGATTGCGGATCCCCTTCTCAAAGAACGCTTGATTCTGTGATGCAAAGTAGTTGGTCACCCAATTTTCGACTTCTTTTGCATTCTTAAACTGGCAATTCTCAAGGGAATGTTGCATCGATCTGAAAAGGTGAAAATCGGAGGGTGCTAAGTCTGGACTATACGGCGCATGTGGTAAGACCTTCCATCCTAGCTTCTCTAGTTCCTTACAAGAGGTTTTTGCCGTGTGAGCTGGAGCATTATCACGGAGAAAGCTGATAGTTGAGGGATTTAGGCCTTTTTCACGCAAAATTTCGTCAACCTTCTTGAGTTGTTGAATAAAATAAGATGAATCGACTGTTTTTCCGGGCTCTAATAATTCAAAATGAACAAGTCCATTGATATTCCACCAGCAAGACAACATCACTTTGCGCCCATGATAATCCGGCTTTGGAGTTGGAATTGGCGCTTGACCTTTGCTCAGCCATTGTCTTTTTCGAGAAGTATTATCAAAGTGAATCCACTTCTCATCCATCGTCAAGATATTCTCAAAAAAATGGCTTCTTTTTCGACTTCTGGAGCAAGATATGGCTGATCGGAACGTGTGCTCCCAGATTCTCAACACTCAATTGATGTGGAACCCATTGTCCATTACGATTTGTCTTTCCAATTATTTCCAAATGGCGTACAATTGTTGAATTGGAGATGTTTGGCAAGTTCTCGTGTTGTTTGCATTGGATCAGCTTCAATTAATTGTTCCAATTCATTGTTGTCGATGGCTGTGGCACGATGTCCATGCGATTCGTCTTCAAGGGATTCATTACCATCTCGGAATTGGGCAAACCAGAGCTGGCATGATCTTTCGGTGATAACCTGTTCTCCAAAGGCGGAACAGAGATCACGATGTGAATCAGCAGCGTTTTTGCCCATTTTGAAGTCATAGAGAAGACACGTGCGCAGAACATACTTTTGATCCACCATGATCTAAAGCAAAAATCAATTAAAAAGTGAAAGCTCTGACTTTGAAAAAATGCGAAAATAAAGTAAATATCCAAGAGTACAAATGCACAAAAGAACATCAAATAATCTCTTCAGATTAAAAAAATAAGAACATTTTATATCGACCGAAATTTCTTTTGCACCAACCTAATAAACTGGCAGTTTGATTACGGTAGTTTTCTAAAATCGATTTTCTTCTAGAAAGTGCATGAAACTGAGCCATGCTGTAACGTAATGACAAGAAAGGAGACTTGACTTTTGCACTCTAGTTTGAGAATTTCCCGGTAAAATAGCAATTTTCGGAAAAAATAACGCCCGTAGTTCACTTGGACCTTTAAAAATGTGTGATAAGACGGCTTTCCACAAAGAAAAACGGCTTTCCCCAAAGAAAAACTCATGAATTTGGTTAAGGCTTTGTTATGCAAAATTTTCACATTGATTATGAGATAGATGAACTTTCAAGGCAATATGTAAAAATCTTTATCCTTGTTTTTAAGAAAGGCGAATTTCTATGTTCAATGGTGATGATGTCCGCCGTGGTGTCCACCAAAATGATGGTGATGATGCCCGTGATGATGGTGATGTCCAAAGTGACCTGGGTTGATGTTTTCCATTTTCATTTTCATTTTCGTTTATCCATTTACCAAGTGTACTTTCAAATCTTTTCTTACCTGCATGATGATGGTGATGATGATGATCAAAATGATGATGGTGATGGTGCTAAAAGACAAAATGAGTGTTATAAAGTGAGTGTTGAACCGGGTTGAGCTGCTTAAACCAAAAAGCGACTTGTTCCAAAAATCAGAATCTAAATAAATCAGGCCATTCAAAGACAAGGCTAAGACAGGTTAAAGATGATTGGGTTAAGTAAGGCAAAGGCTTGGCATATTGTTATTTCTATGTAGTTGGCTCTAACTTGAACATTCTGGGCTAAGCCAAAGAGAAACTACACTGATCCTGATCCTGCTAGAAATCGTGTTTTTTAGGGTTCAAAGTCCAGCAAGAGTTTAGCAATTTCAAGAATTAGAGAGAAGAATTTCTTCAATTAGAAAATTTTGTCAAAAAAATGAATAATTGATAACTTACTGGATGTATAACTACTGGTCCTGGATTTAATGGCCGGAAGTGATGTGGTCTAGGATGATGATAAGGCTGCCAGTTGCAAGCACCTAAAAGTTTATTGTTTTAATTGAATTGCGGAATTTCTTTTAATCTATTGAAAACCATTTTAGGTTTGTGCTTACCATACTCCAATAACATAATCGAGAAGAGATTCATTTTGGTGAAATCGCGATTGTCCTGTCCGGAAGTCACTAAACAAGAAAATTTGTAAGACTAAAGAAAAGCAGTCTTGCACTAAAGCTTTATACTAGGTTGGTGCAAATGAAATTTCGTTTTTTTACAAACATTAAAGTCATCCAAAATTTTTTTTTGATAACAATTTATTTAAAACAATAAGCACCATTATTATCTATGACATCCCCCCAACGTTGCTACAGATTGCGGATCCCCTTCTCAAAGAACGCTTGATTCTGTGATACAAAGTAGTTGGTCACCCAATTTTCGACTTCTTTTGCATTCTTAAACTGGCAATTCTCAAGGGAATGTTGCATCGATCTGAAAAGGTGAAAATCGGAGGGTGCTAAGTCTGGACTATACGGCGCATGTGGTAAGACCTTCCATCCTAGCTTCTCTAGTTCCTTACAAGAGGTTTTTGCCGTGTGAGCTGGAGCATTATCACGGAGAAAGTTGATAGTTGAGGGATTTAGGCCTTTTTCACGCAAAATTTCGTCAACCTTCTTGAGTTGTTGAATAAAATAAGATGAATCGACTGTTTTTCCGGGCTCTAATAATTTAAAATGAACAAGTCCATTGATATTCCACCAGCAAGACAACATCACTTTGCGCCCATGATAATCCGGCTTTGGAGTTGGAATTGGCGCTTGACCTTTGCTCAGCCATTGTCTTTTTTCGAGAAGTATTATCAAAGTGAATCCACTTCTCATCCATCGTCAAGATATTCTCAAAAAAAAATGGCTTCTTTTCGACTTCTGGAGCAAGATATGGCTGATCGGAACGCGTGCTCGCAGATTCTCAACACTCAATTGATGTGGAACCCATTGTCCATTACGATTTGTCTTTCCAATTATTTCCAAATGGCGTACAATTGTTGAATTGGAGATGTTTGGCAAGTTCTCGTGTTGTTTGGATTGGATCAGCTTCAATTAATTGTTCCAATCCATTGTTGTCGATGGCTGTGACACGATGTCCATGCGATTCGTCTTCAAGGGATTCATTACCATCTCGGAATTGGGCAAACCAGAGCTGGCATGATCTTTCGGTGATAACCTGTTCTCCAAAGGCGGAACAGAGATCACGATGTGAATCAGCAGCGTTTTTGCCCATTTTGAAGTCATAGAGAAGACACGTGCGCAGAACATACTTTTGATCCACCATGATCTAAAGCAAAAATCAATTAAAAAGTGAAAGCTCTGACTTTGAAAAAATGCGAAAATAAAGTAAATATCCAAGAGTACAAATGCACAAAAGAACATCAAATAAGCTCTTCAGATTAAAAAAATAAGAACATTTTATATCGACCGAAATTTCTTTTGCACCAACCTAATATGATACTAAGAGCCAATACGCTAGAAACGAATTGGATTATCTCGGTTTAAAACAAACAAAATTATTTTGAAATAGTGCCTAAGAGCAATGAAACATCCAGATTGTGACGCTTTCGATTTGACGTCAGATTTCAAAAAGCGAAATGATAACGAATAGAAGCGATCAGAACACGAGACGTCCGCACCAAGAACTTGCTCTTTTTTGATGACTAAACAAAGCTTTTCGCTTCAAAATCTCTTATCTGTGTCTTCCGAAATGGAAAAGAGATTACTTCATTCTGCTGTTTCATTCAGAGCCTTGAAAGTTTTTAAATATTCACTACTGAAGGCCAATTGTTTACTTACTACGAATTTACATTGTTACTTATCAATTCTTCAATCTGAACTCATTTGACTTCTGCCTTTGAGACTTAATTTGAATCAAAGATCACTCAAAAAAAGTCAATTGATGGGTCAGTTTCAATTTTTGTTACTTTTCTATTAGAGAGGCCAAAAATTGGACTGTTTGATCCCTCTAAGAAAAAGTACCAAATTTTTATTTAACTAACAATCTTCTCTAGACTTTACGGTGCTCGAGGGTTCTGGGATTCACGTTTTCAAAGTTGGATTCTTTGGCAGAAAATGGAAAAAGAGATATTGCGCATTGGGCTCATCGGGAACCTAAGCCGCAGCATAGGGTCGAATTCTTTCCCTTCGAAAAGCGCCCGCGTGGCGTAGGGGATAGTATGGCCCCACCTTTCGACTCTGGTTCGATTCTTTAATCAAATTTCATGTAGATTTTAATAAAAGTAACCGTGAGTTGATTCAACTTTTACATCTTGAGTTATAGACCATTTAAGTGGTTCGACCCCTTCAGGTAGGTCCTCTGACTTTGAGTCAAATTTTGCCGATGTTTTCATATTAAAGTGTAGTAAATAAGTTGTGGATTTTTATAACGGAATTTTATAAAGAATATTTTAAAACCAACCATAAGTTGATCGGTCAATTGAAAGTTAAGATATGGAGGGAAAGAGAAGAGTCGTCAAACTCCCCGACTGTCTTTTTTGTTAAGTTACAAAAACCCATTTTTAAGTTCTCTAAAGTGTTTGTTTATAGTGTTTAAGCGTTTATATGTATGCTAAAAATATAGTAAGCTTAAAAAATGACTCAATTTGCTTGAGTGTCGGGAGATGGCTTCTCAGCGTTTTCTCATCCATTTTTCTCATTCTTTTTCGTTTTCGTTTTCTCATTCTACTAAAAATTCTTGTTACATGTTGTACCACATCTGAAAAACAATGATTTTATTAATCCCAAAACGACAAAAACACGATAAAATTAATGATATTGGCTCCTTGAAAAAGAACAAAAAAGACGAAATGCCCCGATTTTACGTGTAATTTTATCCGATCCAAAAGAGAGGTTCTAAAATTTAATAGCGCTTTTTTTTTTGTTTTTATCTTTCCCCACTTTTCTTTTCCCTGTTTCACGCATTTCTCGGTGAACACGATTAGACTGACACAGGCCACGGAAGTGATGAAGACACAGGTTAAGACGAATATTCCTATATAGTTCCTTTATAGTTCCTATTTGGTTACTGTATAGTTCCTATTTAGTCCCCATATAGTTCCTTTATAGTTCCTTATTGGTTACTGTATAAGTCCTATTTAGTTCCCATTTGGTTCCTATATAGTTCCTTTATAGTTCCTAAATCCTAAACAAAGGACTATTAGAGATTTTCTTAACCCAGAAAATGTCCGAACTTTCTTGGGGACTATTTGTAATCATCAAGATTGGCTATTTTCTGATTTCTAGTCAGTCATACACACACTTTCCCCATTTGGGAAAAGAAATAAGTTGTGGAAGATATTTTGAGCAAGTTTTAGCTCGTTTTGAACAGTTTTCAAGTTCTAATTTGATTTGTAAACATCTGTATATTGAAAAAATGAAAAGAAAACTATTATAAAGTTAAGAGTCCAGTGAAAAACCACTCTGAATGAGGGGAAGTTGTTGAAAAAATTCGTTCTAATCGTTGTCATTCCTAGTCAGATTCAACAATATTTGTCAATACATACTTTTCCCATTTTGATAGAACTTGTTTGTTCACAGTTCTTGAGTACAACGTTCCACTGACCCCAAAAGCTTTCTAAACATTCTCACCTAACAAAGGAAATTGTGATGTTTTCGGCATTTGCTCGGAGACCATTTGCACAAAGGTCGTCATCGACATCATCGAGGTCAGAGCAATGGCTAACTAAAGGAAAATATGGGAATTATGAATCAAAATCCGAACAAACCTTTTCCAACTGTTCCTCCTGAGCATTTGCCTTCCAAAAGCAGCCAACTATCGACAGAAAAGTCAATAGAAAACATGGTAGAGCAATGACATAAATATAGAAACTCGGTTGTCTCTTGCAAGTGATATAGAAGATTGCCTCAAAGTAAAATATTAACAAAGTTTTAAATGTTTCAGCCACCATATCAAAAGAATTTCCGTCCGGTCCAAAATCATAGTGCTCAACGTTCGACGAGGTATTTGTAATCGTCCATTCTCCATTGCTCTGAATTTACTCGTTTCACCATGAAATGAACCCAAATATTTGACAATTTTTGCATTGAACTTTCACACATTCTAATTACTACTATAAAAATTTGAGCCAATTCTAGTGTTGAATAAATGTCTCTTTGAAAAGCTCTCCTTTCTCATACACTGAGCCAGTAATATTGAGATTTACTGGGAGTGGGACAAATGCGATCTTTTTTTTTGCGCACCCGGACATTTGCGCACCTTCCTTTCCGCACCTTGCCCATTAGCGCACCATTTTTCGCGTTTTAAAAAAGCTCTAAAAAGCTAATATTAACCAATTTCGATTCCAAAATTTGTTTTTCTAGTTAATTTAGGGCGTAGAATCGAAATTTTGACATATCAGAGCTTGTGGAAACAAACGGACGAAGTTATACAAAGAGAAAGATCGACAATTTTCTGTAATTTTATCTAGCCGTTTTGTCTTTCAAATTGGTTCCACACGCTCTGTTATGTCAAAATGTCGATTCTACGCCCTAAAATTACCTAGAAAAACAACATTTGGAATAGAAATTGGTTAACATTAGCTTTTTAGAGCTTTTTTAAAACGCGAAAAAAGGTGCGCTAATGGGCAAGGTGCGGAAAAAAAAGGTGCGCAAATGTCCGGGTGCACAAAAAAGGGCGCATTTGTCCCACTCCCGATTTACTTTTAACTGTTTTCCTTTGTATTTCGTGAAGAAGCCCGGCTTGAGTTTTAGCTGATAAAACTCGTATTGTAAAGAAGAGACGCCGATCAAACACGTCTGTGAATCGAAAGGGAATTTTTGAATCTAAAATGGCTTAGAACTTGAAAAAGCTTAGAAAAATGAACAAAACAAAGCATGTTTGAGAGTTGTACCATTCGAAATATAATTAGAACTAATTGTGAGCATAAATTATGATCGACAGCAAGAGAAAAGCCAAAAGAATTTCCGGTTAGGCTAGTTGAAGCCAGAATAACGAAGAATTTCATTATCATGAACGTTTTTTTGTAAACTTGGAATACTTTTTTGGCTTGGAATACCTCATCTGGCTTAGAAAAGGCTTGTAAAAAGAAAAAAAATATCTTTAAAAAGCTGTATCTTTAACTCGGCTAATCAAGTGAAAACTCGATAGCTGATCAAAGCATATTTTAGAGCATTGTGGCACAAGTTCTATTAATTTAGAGTCTCTTTTTCTATTTCACTTACTTCCATCGGGCAGATGTTCTCGATCTGTACGAACATATCAAAGTGCACCGAGCCATTCGCATAAACTTTGCACTGTTTGAAACGCTGTGGAAGACCTTCATTGATTGTTGGACTAAAATAAAAGACACATCTGAATATTTTTATTGCTGTTTTCCTTGACCTCATCACAAACAACTCTTCAGGAGCCCATAAGGCATCACAATGAACATAGAGAATCTCTATATCGTCAAACTGTCGAGGATCCCAAGCCAATCGAATATCGGTCCACGACATCTCAAGTTCAAAGTACATTTCCATCGTTTGACGAGACATATCCTAAGAACAAGAACAATGGTTTCATGAATGGAGCCAGGCCAGACCTAATTTGCAAAATCATCAGGACTATTCACAGCTTTTCGAATACAAAATGAAATGAATAAAGTTATTGGGTTGTCCAGTTATGAATGCGCGTTTTTTACTATTTTGTAAATTTCTCAAGATACCGAAATCAAGAAAAAGATATATATGAGTATTATTCAAAAGCTGAAGATCTCCTCTACATTTTGATATAAAAAGTTTTTGAATTTGTTCAGCTTTTGGGCAAATTGACTGTACAGAAGAAGAGGTGACCAAAAAATGGAAGGGTGCCTTTGGATCAAGTTTTGGCTCCGCTCAAATTGAGTCAACTGTTTGATGTTTGGCCAATAGATATATCAATACAAATTTTTTTTAAATATAACAATTTCAGAGCATCTTTACTTTTCTTTTCTGGGCGGTTATTTTACACCATAAAACTTGAGGAATAGCTAAGCTGGAATGTTTTTTTTCGAAAACGACCTCTCCCTTTGTGCAGTCAATTACCCAAAAAGTTGAATGAATTCAAAAACTTTTTATTCCAAAAGGTAGAGGAGATGTTCAGCTTTCGAATGATATATAACACTCATATACATCTGTTCGATATCTTGAGACATTTACAAAATAGTAAAAACGCGCATTCATAACTGGACAACCCAATAGATTTGTTCGCCTTTAAGTTCTACGGGTTTTATCAGACTATCAGACTTTTTTTTTCTCATAATCAATCAAAGATTTTCTCACCACATTAATCACCATGAGCCGTTGAATGGCGACAGTGATCTCGAATTTTTCGGAATCTAAACAAGTGTTTGATATTTGATAAAAAACATAGACAATCTGCGGAAAACTCTGATAATGAGCACTTGTCTTGAAATGCTACGGAAATCGAGCTCTCTTTGTCCAGGCTGTTAGAAAGCTATCCACTGAGCCACAAAAGTCTCTTTTTGGACAAATTTGGTTCTTTAGACTTTGGTTTGGTTTCAAATTTGGTTCTTTAGACTTCAAATTTCCTTTTTTCTTAATTAAACTATTAGTATTTGAAAATCTGTAGCTAGATTATCAGTTGTTTATAAGCCAAATTTTGGTACTTTTTTAGTTAAAGCACCGTTAAAAAACGGGGTTTCCGGGTTTTCTCTTGAATTTTCTCTTTACTTTATTTTTATATAAGCAAAAATTTACATTTATAAGATTTCCTTGCATCAGTTTCCCTGGCAAAACTGAATTTTGGCTCTCTAATCAAAAGTTGACAAGTGAATAACTTGAATGGATAAATGAGAAACTATTGATCTTTATGATATCGATCAAAACACTATATATAGATACTTTATTCAGGACCTGAGATAAAGTGCGCTAGATTTAAGATTAAAACACATGAATTCATACACATAACACGAAAAGGGCCGATTAAAAGAAACACGATATAATATATGTAAAATGTGGGTAGCACAGATAGCGTCAAGGATCCACTAGAGCTTCAAGATCAAGATCATCTACAGATAATTTAAAGGTTTCGAGACTATTGGACTCTCTCAAAACTCTGGGGAGTCGATTCCAAATTCTGGCAGTTCTTATTGGAAAAGAGTTATAAACAAACTTATTGGAGGTGACTGAAATTTCTAAAACGAAAGAACCTCTCCTTGAACTAACCGTGGGATTAACTTTGAATAAATCTCGAAAAAGAGGAATAGGTTGCCTGCCCTTTACAATTTTGAAACATTCTATTAAATCCGTGATAAAATATGATGATATTATGATTATGATAGGATTTAAGTCGAAAAAATTGGAGAGAAAACCCGGAAACCCCAATTTTTTTAACGGTGGAACTGAATTTTACTCACTTTGGATTCAATTTGCAAATTTTGATACTTTTTTAGTTAAAGCACCGTTAAAACCGTTAAAGCACCGTTGTTTTTCTTTTTACCTGAAGCGTTCCTCGTCATTTTTGAGTTGATAGGAGCCAAGAACACTTGATAATCCCTTCTTGTGAACAACTCCTTGTACAAATCATGAGCAGAATTAATGAATTGGGAATATTCAACTATAATACGTTTCTATACTATTATAAAACACACAAAGTTCACCTGTAAATCCATATTGCTGATAATCCTCATCATTGGAGTTATTTCTATTGTCTTGAGCTAATAGAACTTTGGCCAGCAAAAGAATATTCAAAGATATTCTGGACATCAATGTTAAATCATTTGATTTCCATGACTAAACTCTTGGCTGAACTCGTGTTCAATTTCTTTTCCGCGATTCAAGAGTAGACAAACACATCAGCGATGAAATTTGAGTGCGATGAAGAGGAGACTTTTTGAGTTTGGAGCTTTGACAGTTTATGTACTTATGTATTTACTTAAGTAAATTGACAGAGTTTTAGTAGAACATACATAAAATAGATTATTTTCAAGAGTTTTTGCTATAAAATCTACAATATGCAAAGGATCAGAAATCCTGGAACTGCACTTTTGAGATTCTTTAATGTGTTACATACTACAGCACAATCAATTTCCAGGCTGATCTGACGAACAAGGGACTGTGGTTGCAGTCATGTGCATCACAACTATCCATGTATTGGGTTGTCCAGTTATGAATGCGCGTTTTTACTATTTTGTAAATTTCTCAAGATATCAAACAGATGTATATGAGTGATTTTTTAGAAAAGGAAAAATAAAATAAGCGCACCTAAAACAGTCTTCTGGTCAGTCCAAAAATGAAAAGATGAGAAATACAGATGAGAAGATAGCAGATGAGAAATACGGCAGTGAAAATTGCTCAAAATTGCTCAGGTTTAATCGTCTTTTTTCCAAGATAACAAAAATCTGACAACGCCATTCGATTGGAAATCATTTTTTACGTCTAATCTGAAGTTTTTGTGAAAAAAATATAGTTTGGGGTGTGACCCGCTTTAACCTTATCAACGAGGATGATTCTGCTTAAGAATGGCCGAATAGCACAAAAGGTTAAATGGGTTTCCCCCAAAAGCGCTTACAACGTAAGCGAGAACACGTAGAGCGAGAACACGAGAACACGTAGTATCCAACAATAGATTAACACCCTTGAGAAGAGTACAGATCGGATTGATACTACGTCGATGGTGACACAAATGTTAGTAAAACCAATCTCTCTACAATGTTAAACCAGTTATCTAAACAGGATTTAAAACCTGAAGGGTATCAGTAAAGTAAAGTGAATTTATAACGTTACTGTTTATTAGTACAGAACCGAAATGCAACAATATCCATTACAAAAACAGCATGCGCATCAAAAATGAAACAACAAAGTTCCCCGAGAAAGAAGGCAAAAACCTGCAGACCAAAAAAAATAATTTCGGGAAGGGAGAAAAAGGACGAAAAATGCGACGCGAATAATTGCAAAATAGCAACGCAAATAGGAAGAAAACGGACGCGACCATATGAAGTTTTCTGAAGTATGAAAACCAGTTGTGCCACCATTTGGTCATCGTCAATGTGTTAAATCGAAAAATATATGCTTTTTTTGCAAGAAAATCTTTTTTATGCTTTGTAGTGTAAAGGAAATTCGAAAAAGAAATGAAATGTTCTACATTTGCTTCGATGGAGCAAAGCCGATGCGTTGTCTTGCAAGATCGTAAATATTGCAGTATTGGCGGATGAACGGGTCGCCCAAAATCCATCCAATCCCTGAAAATACCTTTTTATAGTTGGCTTTTTTTTTTGCTTGTTTTCTGGCCAAGTTGAAAAACTTGCGCTTACAGGGTTCATCAAATGGAGCGAGTGCAAGCAAACAGCCCTTTTCCCATGAAACAATCATGTTTGACGCGTTTGTTGTGTAGTCTTTGCCTCCAATTGTCACCGTCACTGAGGCCTATATTCTTAAGATTTTTAGATCTTTGATTTTTCAACCGACTTGAGCCTTGCAGTCGACGTTATAGACCTGATTGTCAGGGTCCCAAGTGGCGCCGAACGCTTTCGCAATTCCATCGGAAGCGGCTTGTGGGGCTCCTGAATTGAAAAAAGTGATTTGAAAAGTGCATATATGTATTGGGTTGGTGGAAAAGTCCTTTCGGATTTTTTGGGAGAGTACCTCAAATTTGTCCAATTTTGACGTTTTATAGCTCATCCTAAAGCTGAATTCAAGACGGATCGATTGGTAAAAACCGTTTTGAGATATCTCTTTTCTAAATGTTTTTACAGCTATTTTAGTAAAGGGCGGCAGAGCCAAAAAATGGCTGTTTTCACGTTTCGTTGGTTTTTCGTGCAGAAACCTAGGCTAAAAACATGTGTTTCGTGATCAGCGTCAAAAATAACCCCTAGACATGCAATGTAAATGCAAACGAAGCGAGAGTTTCCTTTGAAAAGCTTTTAAGGAAATTTAAAGTGAATGAAAGACTTTTTGTGGCTTTCCTTTTCAATCAACTAAAATAGACTGACCAATGAATGCGGTTCCAGAGTCTGAAATGGCTTGCCAGCCAGCTTTGCTCGAATAGCTTCCAGATTTGACAGCATCCAGCTAAATCTTCAAAACTTCAGTGTGATTTGGATTCTTTTTAACCTTAAACTGGAAATATGTAGCTGAAGAAAGTGGCTGATAAGCAATGACATCTCCACAATTATCAGCATCCAAACCTCCATACGTGTACACCCCACCATAGGCTCCATCTTCAGGCTTTATTGTGCATCAAAAAGACGGTGAAAATGGGTTCATCGAGGAGGCCTAGATCGAAGGAGCATTTTTATTTAAATCAGTTTATTGCTATTGCAAATTTTATTCGTTAAAGGAAACAACAGAAAACAACTTCATAAACTCGTTTTCATCGTTTGATCTTTCATTTAACGCCAGGCTACCTTAGCTTCAAATTAGGAATCACGAATACTTTGTGCATTCGAATCTGCACAAAAAATTGAATTCATTTTTCTACAGCGCATTGTTTTCTTTTAAGACTAGTAGAGGAGTTGGAACATGACGTTGTAGATCTTGGCTGTAGATTCTATCGTTAAGCTGGCTATGAGTAAACTTGGTGGTCTTGTCGGTTAAAAAGAAATACAGTCATGGACAAAAGTCTTGGCGGCTCCTGGATGGCAACTTTCAAACGCAAATTTAGGAACCTTCCCGAGAGGCTATAAAAAAGTTGTCACAAGTATTTTTGAGCATTTTTACTCGACTTTTAGCTATGACCAAGCATTGAACTCGAAAGTTTATTTTAGACAACAAAAATAAGCGTAAACGACAAAAAGGTCACAAAAACAAGCCTATTCTGATGCAATAAATTTAAGTAAACACATATCTAAATACTAAATATTTTAGCAGCTATATAATACCTCAAACCAACCTTGATTGATGGCATTGATGAGTGGTGGTGTAACTTGATCGATTGCCAAAGAGGTGAAGGCCAATCCGAGGACTCCATCGACTGGATCTCCGGCATAGAATGGTGAAATAAAATTAGCTTGTGCGAAGATAGTGGTCGGAATGACCAGCTAAAAAAATGTTCTTCAAAGTCTTTCAAAAATCATTTACTTGATTCTCCGAGGGGGCTTCAATTCTAACAGTATCCACTCCAAGGAATCCAGTGGCCTGTCCCTTTCCAAAATTCATCCAAAATTGACGTCCATCTCTCTAAGAAATTTTTGATATTTTGTCTTTAAATTCGACTTCACCACATAGGTGCTTGATTTGTCTTGATCGAATTTATCTTTTCCGTCACATTGTGCATCGACGCAACTTCTGTCGGGAACCCAGAGATTCGCTGATCCCGTGTCCAGAATAACCTAAAAAAAATAGAAAATTGCTTTTTTTGATCAACTTCTTGATGACAAGTTGATGATTGACAACTTCAACTTTCTTTTGATCAACTTTTTACCTACCTTGAATTCTTGTTGATTTGATCCAATGGTGATGTTGGCAATGTATTCCAAATCTTGAAAATCGTACACCTGAAATGTCTTTCTTGAACTTTTACCGCCTTTAATGATCCTTCAAATCGACCTTTTGTGGGAAAGATCCCAAAATGTGCTCCGGCGAAAGCCGAGCTTGATCTTTTTCTTTTAAATAATCAGCCCATATGCCTGCATTGAGCATTCGCATTTTTGGGGAAACCCTTCTGATCAATTTGTGTTGATAGACTCTTCCCGAAGAAAAGTTGAGCACTGAGGCCAAAACGACGAGCAAGAGCCAGAATTTCATTGCCTAGACATTAAGTTGAGTTGAGTCCAAGAACTTCTAAAGATCAATTCTAGAGATCAAAAACAATAAATAATCAGAAAATCAACAAAACAAGATTTTGCTTTCAAGCTCATCATATTTATATATGCCGTAGCCGATTATGAATGAAATTTTTTGGTAAATCTTTCTAGTAGAGCAACCCTTTAATGTACGAGGACAAAATTATATCATCCTGTAGCGAATTCAATTCTGCGTCGATTGGTACCAAATTTGTGAGTTTAGGTTAAAAATTGCCGGCGCTACAACGTTTCATTCAAAATCGGCGGGACCCCCGTAGCCGATTATGAATGAGTGGGTCTAGGAGCGTCCAACCATCAAGTATTTAGTATCATTCAACGCAGAATCATTGATAATTATGTTAAATTTTTAAAATTAGCAAGATTTGATGAAAAGAAAAAGAATTAGAGCAAAAAACTGTTTGTTCAAGAGAAAACTTTCTGCAAAACGGACCCTAATTAGCATAAAACTTAGCTAAAGGAACAAAAAAAATGTTATTTTATTGAAGCAAACCGCAAGTCGATTGGTTGGATATTCATTTCTAAATGAGACTTTGAAACAAAACCTCAAAAATTATGTAACAACCTAATACATAAAACTCAATAAAACCCTTTTGTTGGCTCCCTCAGCCGGCGAACGTCCTGATTCTTGATTATCGCTCTTAAATATGATAGGTCTTGTGTAGTTTAGGAAAGTTTATCGGAAAATGATCTCATTTCAGGTGTATGGTTTCATTTTCTTTACAGATTTCTCGATTCAATAAGTGCAAATTTCTTTATCAACACGGGAGAAGTGTTCTGAACGCAAAAATTATTAAGTGACATCAAAAAAGAATCCAAACGCCATTCAAGCTGGATCAAAAATGACTTTTTTGTCATCAAGTAGAAAAATATTTATTTCTTTGCATAAAAATTTCTTATTTTTTATTTTTGTGCAACTTTTTGATTTTGGAATGGCAAAGCGCGAGATGATTTCACATCTGAGTGCTGAGCTACACTTAAAATTCGGTGTACTCTGATATGCTTGTATCTACCGTATACACGAGCACTACACGCACTAAAATCTGTTCAAATGAAAATATCTTGAATTTCAGCAAGAAGTTCCTCAAACATGTTCCATACCGTGCAATCATTTCCACTCCCGAAATATGGGCCATCTGGGTGGCGTCGAGTGTCCACGGTGCTCAATATGATCTTCCTTTTTTGGTGACTTTTTATTTCCAGAAACCGCCAAAGATTGAGCATGCCTTTGAACGCTTTTGTTTTTGCAATACGTTTTAAACATGATCAAACGAATCGGAAGGTAACAGTGACACTCAATTAGGCAAAATTTTGCTATTTGGGGAATCTTGGTTTCACCTGGACCGAAGCGTTGGCTTGTTAAAAGATCCCCTGCGAGCTGAAATTTTTCATTTTTTGTTTCTGTTAAATGCGAATCTTTAACATATAGGTAAATGTAACTAAATTTAGCACTGAAACGTTCGTGACCATCAAAATTGCTCCAAAAACAAGTGCCGCGCCAAGCAACTTGACTGCCAATTTTGAGGCTTTATAAAAAAAGGCAGAAAAAAGTTATCTTTTTTGTCAAACCTAAGAATCCATCGCAGAGAAATGTTTAAATTTTCCATGAAAACAAAACGTGATATGGTTGCACATCTGAGTGCTGAGCTACACTTAAAATTAGGTGTACTCTGATAGGCTTGTATGCTTGTATACACGAGCGCTTTACGCACTAAAATCTCTTCAAATGAAAATCTTGAATTTCAGCAAGAAGCTCCTCAAACATGTTCCATACCGTGCAATCATTTCCACTCCCGAAATCTGAGCCAAGAGAAAATTGTCTTTGTTTGGAGACATCATAGCAACGAGTCGCATTATTTCAATAAAAAGGCATCATGTCAATATTTTATTATTGTCGCTTGAGTGGCATTCCAATGTATTTTTCTTGAAATTTTATGCTTATTTGCTTATTTGTAGGTCAACGTTTTTCATAGAAATTTAACATTTTTAAGAACTCTCAGATGTTCTTGACCTGTAGTTGACGAAGCTCATGAAGCAGAGATTCATTTTGTCGGATGGAATGATGCAGTTGGTTGCCTGGCAAGGGCTAAATAATAAACTATTAGGTTGAGGAAAAAGTAATGTCGCTTTTTGTCACAAAATTGTTTATTGCTAAAAACATAGACAAACGCAGATCAGTCAATGAGATATTCTCCATTATTATTGATGACTTGTTCCCATCTTTGTCGCAAGTCCCTGATCGAAACCTCAAAAAAAATGGGGAGTTTTCGAGCCAAAATAAGTGTCGACTGCTTTTTTGATCTGTGCATGATTCTCAAACTTTTCGCCCATAAGAAAACTCTTCAACGACCAAAACAAAAAATAATCTGATGGGCCCAGGTCCGGACTATAAGTCGCGTGGGGCAGAAGTTTCCAACCAAGCTCGTCGATTTTTTGGTGAGTGATTTTTTGCAGCGTGAGGTTTTGCATCATCATGCAAAAATAGCACTTTGATGTTTCAACGCCCAATTTCTTTAAAGCCTCGTTAACTCTCATCAACTGTTTTGAATAACGATCAGCGGTGACAGTTTCACCCGGATTCAACAACTCATAATACTCTAAACCTTTTGTATTTCACCAACAGCAAAGCCTAAGTTTCTTTCCATGAATACCGGGTTTTGAAGTTTGTTGTGGGGGTTGACCAAGAGAAAGCCACTGATTTTTGCGCTTCACATTCTCATATTGAATCCATGTTTTATCAGATGTTAGAATTCTTCCCCAAAAATCAGAGATTTGCCTTTTTGAAGCAGAGTAGAGCTAACGATAACACGAGTTGTTTTGTTGCCTTGAGTTCATGAGGAACCCATATTCCGCAGTGAATTGTTTTTCCTAACTGATGTAAGTGGTTGTCGATTGTTTTTTGGTCCATCCCAAATGTGTCCGCTAACTCACAAGTGGTAACGGTTGGATTGAGTTCAATGGCATCAAGCAAATTCTCATCTGAAATCTCCTGGGGTCGTCCAGACCGTTCCTCTTCTTGGAGACTTTCATTTCCATCTTTGAACCGCTGAAACCATCTTTGGCATTGTCTTTCGCTAATGCTGTCTTCCCCAAAAATTTAATGATTGTCCGATGCGATTCAGCCGCGGATTTCCCTTGTTTAAAATCATACCACAAAGTCGAAACTTTTCGTCTTGAATTTTGTACCTGAAAATATTGTTAAATTTGTAAAAGTTAAATATAATATGAAAGTATAGAATGTCTAGCTGATATCTATTTGAAAAAATCGCATAAGCAAAAAACTGGAAAATTGCCAACAACGGGAATTGAAAAGCGACATTACTTTTTCCTCAACCTAATAATAATGATTTTATTTAAATGACTATTTAAACTATATAAAAGTAAGAAAGAATAAAGATTTATTAGGCATCTAGACCACAGTTCTAAAGAAAATATTCGGACTTTTATTGTACAAAGTGCAATGGTAAGGGGAGACGAGTATATTGCTTGTGGGAAACAACACTCTTTGAACAAAACCTTTCAAAAGAGTGCTAGCTCTTTTTCTCGTTGAAGCTATTAAAAAATGAATTCAATGCGAAATAAACATATGTGTTCACTTTTCCTACCTAACAACCTTCATTTTCCAGCGTCCATATGCGTGACTGGTCTGCCATTCATCCTCTGGGAAAAGCTAAAATAAAAAGATCAAATGAACGTGCTATGTAAATCCTACTAACTCGATTCGCAAGGCTTTTTGTCTGATAAGTTTACCGCAAAAGCCGACGATTGATATTGATCAAATTTGTTCTTTCGTTTTGTTTTTTGTTCTTCCGAATATGCCGGATCTTTTCCAAGAGTGATCGAATCACAACAGAAGGCATCTTTGCAATCAAAGAAACAATCGAATTCGTCGAGCTGAATGGTAAAAATCAACCTTTCGCACATTCATCCCCATTTCTCAAAAACTGTGCATCAGATCGGGATTAAATTTTGGCGCATAATCAAAAAAACTTCAATTGTTATTAGGAGAAAAAGTTATGGTTTTGTTTTCTTCAAAAGTTTGTCCGAAGACGTTGCCATTTCAGATTCTCCAACCGAATAATTAGATCACAAAATTTTATCCTAATTCGAAAAGAGTCGGCAAATAGACAAAAATGATTTCATTATTTGCGTGAATCGAAAACAAACGTTTAAAATAATTTTCTGTTTTTGTTTACGAGTGAAAAAGATTATAAAAGCTCAAAAAGTCGACGATTAACAGCGAAATTCAGAAATATTACCATATTCAAAATGCAAAAGTCGCTTTTCAATTTGTTCATCATTGTGAGCATCTTTGGATGTATGGTCGAAGCAAGTGAGAATTGGATATAGAAAACTTTATCATAATCATAAGTTTAGGGGTTTTAATTGTGCTTTAAATAGTTGTTAACAACAATGTTTTGTCAAAAAACTGAAAAAACTTGCTTGACTGGCTTTCGAAAAACCAAAAAGTCAAGTAGGTCGGTGTTTCCCCACGAAAAAGTGGGGAATAGTGATAACATAATAGTGATTCACTCGTTTAGGCATCGACAATAAATCACCGGGAAGTAGCATTTGTCCACCCGATTGCACGGGAATCCCTCCAAACTGTCGTTGTGGTCCGACGTTTTGCCCAATCGGCTGTAGTGGAATTCCCCCGAATTGCAAATGTGGGCCGACTTTTTGCCCCGTTGGTTGCACGGGAATCCCACCGGACTGTCGATGCAAATGAGCCAGAGAAAATAAAAAAACTTTTTATTCTGCTTTTTTTTTGTATTTCTTATATTTCTTTTTTCCCGCAATGCGTAAACTGTCTGTTTCATCACCGAGTTTTTCTTTCAATTCTATGCAGTGCAGACAATAAATGGGGCATCGGCTTGTTCGTCGGCAAATTGTTGGCACATAGAGCATACAATTGAGTCCTCTGCCCATACAGTGATGATTCTAATAGAAGCACATGTGCTTCTATTAGAATCTCCTAAAATCGGCCAACCAAAAAAGTAGGTAAGGGGACCAGATGAATCAAAAATTTAGACTTTATTAAAAACTATGTTAATTGATAGGGATTGGCCCAAAACGTACAAAAAAACGTGTTTTCAGATCAAAGTTTTCCTTCCTCTTTCCTTCCTTCCATTGATGATTCTTCCAAAAAAAATCCATGTGGTTCCCCTTACGATTTCTTTCCAAAAAATTATTTTTGATTTTTTTTTGAAACCATGCTTTTAACTTTACTGCTGATGGTATTGGGTTGTCCAGTTATGAATGCGCGTTTTTTACTATTTTGTTAATTTCTCAAGATATCGAACAGATGTATATGAGTGTTACATATCATTCGAAAGCTGAAGATCTCCTCTACATTTTGGAATAAAAAAGTTTTTGAATTCACTCAACTTTTTGGGAAATTGACTGCACAAAGGGAGAGGTCATTTCCGAAAAAACCCAAAAAAACCCAAAAACCCCAGCTATTCCTCAAGTTTTATGGTGTAAAATAAGCGCCCAGAAAAGAAAAGAGAAGTAAAGATGCTCTGAAATTGGTATATTTTAAAAAAGTTGTATTGATATATCTATTGGCCAAACATCAAACGGTTAACTCAATTTAAGCGGCGCCAAAACTTGATCCAAAGGCACCCTTCCATTTTTTGACCACCTCTTCTTCTGTGCAGTCAATTTGCCCAAAAGTTGAACAAGTTCAAAAACTTTTTATATCAAAATGTAGAGGAGATCTTCAGCTTTCGAATGATACTCATATATACCTTTTTCTTGATTTCGGTATCTTGAGAAATTTACAAAATAGTAAAAGACGCGCATTCATAACTGGACAACCCAATATATTGGGAAATTTTAGGTCTAGATCTCTCCATAGAGAGGTTACAACGGAGTCTAAAGTCAAGATTTTGTAAGATCTCGAGGGATCTGGATTATCGAGTCTATTAGATGTGCTTCTATTAGAATTATTACGATACGTGGAATATTCAGTGTTTGAACAAACATCATTGATATGCAAGCATCCCCCAAAAAGATGATCAATACATATCTAAAAAATAGACTATTTTACAACTTACTTTCACTTTAGAGTTATTAGTCTTCAAATTTTTCTGCATGTTCTGTTTTTCTTTCTTGTATCTTTTGTACGGTGATCAATAACCTGTTCTCAATGGAGTTCTAAATGCTATGCAGTCATTCAAATAATAGTTTTAGCATATTAAAAGTGAAATATTATAAACAGTTCACCCCACAGAGTGGAAATTCACAAAATTTTCAAAAAAAACAAACAAAAAAGCACACCCGATTTGTTTGAGACGGTCAATAAGAGCTGATAAGGCAAAAAAAATGATGCAAATATTTGGAAATTTCAATTTACAAGTAGAATGAAAGTCTATAATTTTCTTGATTGGTTTTCTTCTTCTTCCGGATTCGGCTGAGCGAATGAGCTTTTGCCGACAACAAAGTTCTCCTGATTTTTTCAATGAATGAATTTATGAAAACTATGAGTTTCCTAGGTTTCAATTATTGAAAGTAAAGGGTCAAAAGGGTACTTGTTTGTTATCTCAACACAAATTTCACCGCAGCATCAAGTCTGTGAAATCGCAGACAGACGCAGACGCAGACAATCGAAATCAATTTGCGTACAAAATTTCAAATGACACCCAGTGGTATTTCTTTCTTAATTTTATACTCTTTTTTCTCCTCTTCTTTACGACTGTTTTGAGGTTTTCTCTTTCGCAAGGTTAAAAAGCCGCTTTGAAGTTTACAAAGTTTTTTGAAGTGCAAATTTTGGCAAAGATATAACTGACTTGATGCTAGGTAGTTTGCAGAAACAAAAAGATTTATACTATATGCCAAAGAGTTGCTTTGACTAGCTTATGTGTAGCCGAGTAATCTATCGTAGCTAAACCTATCTAACCTTTGTCCATTCACAGGGTTCACCTCGGATGAAAATGCAAAAGATCACGTTTGAGACTGTCTGAAATGCGAATTCGTTGCTCATTAAAATGTTTTTAAAACTGTTTAAAATGCTTAAAAGGGAGTAAACCCAGATAGGTCGACCAGTTCAACGGAAAAAATGCCGATTTCTGATGTGAACTAATCTCGCTAATCCTAAGAGGTACAGTACTGGACAATGAAATATCATTTTAAAAAACAGTCGTCACTTTTGCGCGTCTAAAACTCCCATGTCTTTGAGTTTAAACTATTAGTGTTAGACATTTTCTGAAAGCTCTTTTCAAGGGCTACACAATGGTAATATTAATATTTAGAAATACGGTAAAGACAAGGGAGTTACAGACGCGCGAAAGTGACGATCTTTTTTTCGAATATGATATTTTATTGTCGAGTAGTGTACGTGTTAAATTCAGGATAATGCTAAAGATGTTTTGAGGTGGAAAGAAAAACACAAGGAAAAGTTCAATGAATGAGAATTGTTTTAAAATTGCTTCTGATGTGGAAGCGAACTTTAAACCAATTCGGTAAAGACAAGGGAGTTACAGACGCGTGAAAGTGACGATCTTTTTTTCGAATATGATATTTTATTGTCTAGTAGTGTAGCTTTATTTCACCCACCATGATCCCGGCTAGCCACAAAAAGACGACTTTCCATTCTTCAGCCGTGTTATTTGCAGTCATCGGCGTGATAGCGAATGGCACGAGAAACATGGTCGTCGTGAGCGTAAGTGAGATGTTTCCGGTAACGAAATGACTGAAATACATTTCTTTCGCGTGCTAACATTATACTATAGTTTACACACACCATTTGGGTATACAGGGTTGCCCACAATGATAGCGCCGCACTTCAGAGGGCCTAGATTGACCACAATTGGGTCAATGGTTCTGATTTTTCTGGAGGTAAATCTTAACTTAACACCATTCCAGGAGACATACTTAAGATTTACCTCCAGAAAAATCAGAACGATTGACCCAATTGTGGTCAATCTAGGCCCTCTGAAGTGCGGCGCTATCATTCTGGGCAACCCTGTATACCCACATGGTGTGTGTAAACTATAGTATAATGTTAGCACGCGAAAGAAATGTATTTCAGTCATTTCGTTACCGGAAACATCTCAATCCTGTAGTTTACCCACAATTACAGTTTCTCTATTCTCACCTGTACTGTCGACTGAGAATCGGTGCCGCTCGAAATAAACCCCCCGTGTTTACGCCAATTATCCCACCAGCACACCCAAACAGGATAAAGGAGAGTTTCTAAAGGGGGTAAACAAAATAAAAGTGCTCAACCGATATCTTTACGCACAAAGTCTCCAACATGGGTACGCGGATCAGTGAACGCCAAAAAGGAAAGCAAGATGGAACAGCCGAAGAAAGCGATCGAGTTGAACAGTCGGATCTTGTTCACTTCGGACAGAAATTTGATCTTATCGCTCGTTTGGCCTGAAGAATTTGTATGCAAGGAAAAAAAACCGATGATAAGAGGAAAAGATCAGGCTAACCGATGATAATCTTCATGATCGCCTGCGCCAATGGGGCGATAGCGGCGGTGAAACCAGTATGGGTCACTGAGTAGCCGAGCACTGAAAAATGATAGAAATTGGTAAATTGTTGACACTATACCACTTTCTGAACTACTATTTCAGGAACTTGCATTTTAGAAAGTGCATTTTAGAAAGTGCAAGTGCCAAGCCAAAAGCGGGCGCTTTTTGAAACGAATAAGTTTTCTTGAGTGCAACTAGGCTCTGAAAAAGTTCCTGAAATAGTAGTTCAGTAAGTGGTATAGTGTCAAAAATTTACCAATTTCTATCATTTGTCGGAAGTGGTAGTTTTACGGAGTTGATTTTCGGAAATGGTATAATGTTAAATTGTTAGAGATGGATCGTCAAATGAGCAGGCTCAGATCGGATGAAACTTACCCATTCAATCCTTCTCAATTTTCTCTGAGACCCAAAAAACTCCTAATGCTTATTTGTTAGTGTTCTTTTCTCAACCGACCGTTCCTCAAATAAATGGGTGAATAGAGGAAGATCATATTGAGCACCGTGGACACTCCAATCGACGCCACCCAGATGGCCCAGATTTCAGGAGTGGAAATGATTGCACGGTATGGAACATGTTTGAGGAGCTTCTTGCTGAAATTCAAGATTTTCATTTGAAGAGATTTTAGTGCGTAAAGCGCTCGTGTATACGGTAGATACAAGCATATCAGAGTACACCGAATTTTAAGGGTAGCTCAGCACTCAGATGTGCAACCATATCACGCTTTGTTTTCATGGGAAATTTAAACATTTCTCTACGATGGATTCTTAGGTTTGACAAAAAAATAACTTTTTTCTGCCTTCTTTTATAAAGCCTCAAAATTGGCAGTCAAGTTGCTTGGCGCGGCACTTGTTTTTGGAGCAATTTTGATGGTCATGAACGTTTCAGGCTTAGGCTTAGGCTACCTTCCGATTTGTTTGATCATGTTTAAAACGTATCGCAAAAACAAAAGCGTTCAAAGACATGCTCAATCGTTGGCGGTTTCTGGAAATAAAAAGTCACCAAAAATAAGTGCCAAGTCAAGCAACTCCTGACTGCCAACTTTGAGGCTATATAAAAAAAAGGCAGAAAAAAGTTATTTTTTTGTCAAACTTAAGATCAAATTGCTCACAAAGTTTCACTATTTTCTTCAAAATTGAAGCTTTTACATTTTCCAGCAAACAAAGCCAAGCTAACAGCGATTGCTATGGCCAAGCTAGCAGCAATTGTCATAGCCTGGCTAGCAGCAATTGCTATAGCCAAATTAAAAGCAATTGCTATAGCCAAGCTAGCAGCAATTGTCGTAGCCAAGCTAGCTAGAAAAACGGGAAAAATATTTAAATTTTCTATTAAAACAAAGCGTGAGATGATTGCACATCTGAGTGCTGAGTTACACAGAAAATACCGAGTCCGAGTAACTATTGAACATCCTGTAGACGCTAATTTGACTGTACATAGAAAACCCACTCAACAGTGGTCGGCTTTTCGAGGTCGATCTTGTTTTTCTCGACATCACCCACGAACGGATGCTTTCTGGGGCTGTTACGGTAGAGAAAACCTGTGACTTTGTGAGAATCAATCATCTTTTTGGCAAGCCACAACGAACCGTAAATGAGGAACACCAGCAAGCCGACGACTCCATGAAAGTAAAAGATGGCCGACCAACTGGAAGTTTAATATTGAATGTTGATCACTTTTTGTGAAAATTACCAGTTAGCCCTACAACGTTGACTAGAAAAACTGGAGCCAGTTACCGGTTTTGCGTTTTAACTATGGCTGGCTTGACATTTTAAGGGTAAAAGTTCAGTGATACAGGGAAAATGATCCTCCCCGCTCTGAAAATGATCTGAAAATGATAAAGATGCCCAACCACTTCAATATTATTGTATGCACAAATTCTCTCTGACCCAAAAATGTGACAAATCGCGCCGGAGATCGGATTTGTGACGGCGGCCGCGAGATGGAGATAGGCGATGAGCACGGCCATGAAGAGACCATTCTGCAAGAAGACGATTTGTCCTTATGTCAAACTTTCTCCTATCGTTTAGCACTGAAAAATGATAGAAATTGGTAAATTGTTGACACTATACCACTTTCTGTACTACTATTTCAGGAACTTTCGTGCATTTTAGAATTACGTTCGATCTCTATGGTCTATAAGCGGAGGTTTTTCAGTGAAGAACACAAAGAGAAAAAGAACATATCAGTCTATGATCATAATGAGAAATCATAAACTCAACACTGCGCTCGGACTGACAATAGAAACACAAGTTGGTTAGCTATTCTTTTCTATACTTGTGGCCATCTTGTTCATTGCGGACAACATGGTAAGTGAAATTCTGCAAATTTTCAGAAAACTCAAATTTAGGTGAGCATCATTGGCACTGCGTCCGGACTGACAATAGAAACACAAGCTGGTTAGCTATTCTTTTCTATACTTGTTGCGACGAGAAAGTCTTGTGTGCGTCAGATAAAGCAATGACTGGATTGAATCAAATGTGGCATGTAGTGGAAAGCTCCCCAATTGAATATCCATTTATCGAACCTCTCGCTCTCAAACTTGGGCAATAAACCAAAGATGAAGAGAAGAGAAACAATAAAATGAAAGAACAATAACCAATGCAAAATGATTTATGGTTATTTTACAGACTAACAATTTGGACGACACGGAATGAGCAAAATCGTGAAATTAACTGCTTTACGGTTTACGCCGCTGCTTTTACTGCTGCTGCTTTTGCTGCTTATACCACGCATGACGGAATGAAATGTTTGTCTATGGTAGTTTGAGCTTTATTTAGGATTGGCGCTATGCATTTGCATTAGCTTGATGATAGTTCTCAGAAGAATTGATAAAAAGCCTAACAATGATTGTGAGAGATCGATTTAGTGATCGAGAAAACTTTTTTGACGGTTCTTGTTTAGAAACTTGACTTTATAAGTTTAGACTCTATAAGTAGATAGGTCAGTAAATTCAAGAGAGTCGTGTTTAGTTCCATTATTCTTTCTAAACAAACGTGCTTGTTTATAATAGGCCCATTTCGAACAGAAAGCACCGATCACTGGCAAGTTGACGGCAAACGCGACACCATTGACGAAGCGAAGAGCGAGGAAATAGTAGAAACCACTCTGAAAGTCTTTATTTTCCCTTGGGGAAACAAATATGGGATCTATGGTAAGGGTTTCTTAAAGAGGCCTCATTTTGCAAATTTTGGTCCATAGACTAGGGAAAATTGTCAAATTCGGTGCTTTAGCGCCATTTCTCTATTTCTTTGTGACTTTGGTTTAGCATGTTTCTGAAACTATTTCCGAAAGAGCCCTTTTAAGACATGCATATTCCCATCTAACCCTCACTTTTCAACCAATATATTTTTGGATATGGATATTTTGGATATTTTGATTGGATATTTTGCTATTGAATGATCGTTTTTGGATATATTTTTGGATCGTGACCGATATTTTTGGGGCCGTAATCCAGTTAGTGGCAACTCGAGTCGTTTCTACCGAGAAGCAAGAGTCAAAGTGCTCAAATCAGATCGTGTTATTCCCTCGAATTCTCGAATGGTTTAACGGGGTGTTCACTTTACGTTCATCGAATCTAGAAAACGAATCTAAAAAACATTTGATCGTTGCTCAACGAGTATTGTTAGCTAATTCCATTTTGTAATCAAAAGCCGCCATGGCAGACTGGCTAATATTGCATTTTAGTCGCGAGGTCAAGGGCTCAATCCGGTCGGCTAGCTTATTGCCTCATTCTCCCAATGGGCTAGATCCAAATGGACTTTTCTGACGTTTGGGGCTTAAGGGTTGTGTCCACGATCATTCAATAGCAGAATCTTACTTACAAAGAAATTTTCGAGAATTGAAACTACCACAAAAGATTGGCTCCCATGAAGGGTTATCGCGAAAGGAGCTCACAAAGTTTAGTCTCTTCCCTAATGTTATTGGATTGGGGAGAGCGTCGAACTTTATAGACACTTTTTGCAGGCATAAAGCCTTCTTTAAATATGCATTTTGTTGATCACTACACTACAAAAAAATTGTTGTGGAAGGCGAAAAGAAACGTGTCGATTAAACAAAGGAATTGATTGATTTGGACGCGCAGGCGAGGAGGGTTTATTTTGATACGCTTCGATCGCAATGGGAAGTCAAGGCGACTCCCATTCAGAGGTCGACAAACACTCATCCAAAAATCCACAACTAGGCCCGAGCTATTGGGTTGGGAAGAATGAAATGGCGCCGAACTTTAAAGACACCTTTTGCACGCATAAAGCCCTCTTTAAATGCGCGTTTTTCTCATCAAAACGGTGCACTATTTTTCTAGAAAATGACTTTTGAGAGATTCCACAAAGCTTTTCTTTCGTGGAGTTTATGAACGCCCAAGCACAGCAAAATAATCAAAATAGCAATGAGTCCGACTCATTGTTTGAACAGTTTCTTCCACATAAACCTCCTTTGGTGTCTAGATAAAAAAGATAGAGCACATTCAATTACATAAGTTGCCAAATTTTCAGGAAGATTCCTCTACTCCTCTTCATTTTTTGAAATTTTGTGAAAAAAGAAATAGCAGTTTGGAGATTTTGTGAAAAGAATGAACTTTGTTGAGTTAAAGCGCTGTTTGAGTCTCCTTTCAAATGCCAGTGTTTAGAAAATCAATTAACCTTTCTACTGATACTGCTTGTGTTCCATTTAGAAAATCAACTAGGAGTTTTAAAAGTGTCTTTAAAGTTCGACGTCATTTCATTCTCCTCAACTCAATACTTACAAAACGCTTCTTTTACCCTCTATACCCTCTTACCCACTCGAATAGCTGTTGGAATGACGAGAGTGGCGATGGCCGAGAGGAGGCCTGCCGCGCCGAAGATTGTCCGAATCTGGAAACGATTCACGAGTACGAGCACTGGGAAATGGGCAAGAACGGCGGCCACGGCCAAAACGGAAATCGCGTATTTCTGCTCACCTAGAAACCTTCGATAAATTGGAAAAAAACAAATACGGTATCACTTTTTGAAAAAATCGGCTCATCGCCATCTGTTCCATTTTGCTGATTTGCATCCATGCAAACGATGGCAAAGTTGAAGGAGAGAACGTTGGACCTGAAAAATGCAGTGAGAATTGTTAGGTTTGTTGGTAACTAAATATTTGCATTTTCTGTTACTGTAGTTAGTAAGCTGGCTCTTTTTTTTTCAGAAAAGTGCATGTATAGTTAATAGACAATGATTCAGATTCAGAAAATTCAACAAAGTTCAGCCAGTTTTTGATTTGTACTGATGTAAGTCACAAAAAATGTGCAATCCTTCCAATCAACCGATTCCCTTGGGATACCTAGGATACAAAGAACAAATACTTTGTAAAACCAGACAAGACAAGTATTTATCTCATTGATTGCGTTTGTTTTTCCATACAATGGTTGATATTCCGCTTCAGTTTTTTATCTATTTAATCTACGGAATTCCGTCGGCTATTCTCAACTTGCTGGTCATTATCTGCATTTTGAGAGACAAGAAATTGTTTGCGATTTCGTTTTATCAAGTCTATGTGTTTTTGCTACTTGTGGTGGGTTGTAGATTTGAAATGTTAAATGGCCAATGAAAAGTTTTCTTGACTAAATAGGCTCTTCCTGTTGCTAATAAGCTAATCTTTTTCATCAAGATAGATTTGGTGAACACTTCATAGGGCTGGAAGCAGATCGTTGCTAGGACAAGGTTACATTAGAATAGCTAAGAGTAGGTCAGAATGTGAATAATAACATTAATTCATTTAAACAAATTATATTGACGTTCCTGAAATAAACACTTGTAGATATCAAAGAATCAAAATTGGGGAAAGAAGTCGAGATTAAAGGGGGAAGTGCTTACGCTTTCAATGGTGGAGATGAGAAATTGATTATATTGGGTTGTCCAGTTATGAATGCGCGTTTTTTACTATTTTGTAAATTTCTCAAGATACCGAAATCAAGAAAAAGATATATATGAGTATTATTCGAAAGCTGAAGATCTCCTCTACATTTTGGTATAAAAAGCTTTTGAATTTGTCCAGCTTTTGGGCAAATTGACTGCACAGAAGAAGAGGTGACCAAAAAATGGAAGGGTGCTTTTGGATCAAGTTTTGGCTCCGCTCAAATTGAGTTAACCGTTTGATGTTTAACCAATAGATATATCAATACAAGTTTTTTTAAATATAACAATTTCAGAGCATCTTTACTTTTCTTTTCTTTTCTGGGCGGTTATTTTGCACTATAAAACTTGAGGAATAGCTCAGCTGGAATGGGTTTTTTTTCGAAAACGACCTCTCCCTTTGTGCAGTCAATTTACCCAAAAGCTGAACAAATTCAAAAGCTTTTTATATCAAAATGTAGAGGAGATCTTCAGCTTTTGAATGATATATAAGACTCATATACATCTGTTCGATATCTTGAGAAATTTACAAAATAGTAAAAACGCACATTCATAACTGGACAACCCAATAGATCATCATTAATAGTAAGTGAATTTAAAATCTAGTAAACACCAGTCGAAAAGAAACTTTTTAGGTCGATTTGATGATAAACTTTGGTACAAGTTTGACAGAAAGACTAAAAGTTTGAAAAATCGTAATCAAAAAAAAGTATTAACAGAGTTTTTGAGGAGAAGTTGAAGAGAAAATCACAAGAGAAATCACAAGCTGCAGAAAATCAATCAGAAATAAATTGACGATAGACTTATTGATAGAATAAACTAAATACTATATCATGCTCTGATTTCCAGTATCTGATCATCTACATCAACACGTATCCTGTGGTGAAACTCCGTGATATCCCCTCGATCGCCTCAATCTATATGGATATCGAGCAATGGTTTCCACCATTTCGTCTCATGTATGCATGGCAATACATCGCCTTTCATGCACAACAATTAGTTCTAATCATGATGCATTTCAATCGATTCACGGCCATTCATTTTCCGATGTCACACGACTGGGTTAGTGAGGAAGTTTCAAGATCACTTTGGTCATTAACTTTTCTAGATCTGGAAACCACTTCATTTCCGCCTGACCGCCATCATGATTTTTATCTTCTGTTTTGGGATCAATTATGAAGTATTTTTCTAAATAATTGCTTTGTTTTGATTGATGGCTTAGCACGAACACTGCATTGGTAGTTTGAAAATTAATGAAAAGAACTTTGATCTTTAAAACCTAAAATCTAAAACTATCAGGTTGGAACGGTCAAAGTGAGAATTTTTTGCACTATATTTTTCTCCAAAAACACATTTATTCAAGGTAATCGCCATTATTAAATATTATTTGTTGTCATTAAATATTATATACTATTCAGTAGAGCATGGAATCCCTTCTCCCAGAAATTCTTGCGCGTCCAAGAAGTCGTGAAAGTGACGATCGTTTTTTCAAATATTATATTTCATTGTCCAGTAGTGTAGCTCCTTGGTCCTTGAGTCTTGTCGGGTAGGTGGCATTACTATATATCGGAACTCGACGCTCATAAGTTTCATTTGCCGTGTTTTTACCATAGCTTTGGTTTTCGGTGCCTAAAAGTACAATCTTATCTTTGGCCATTAAAAGCAAACACTGTACTGTACAGTGCGTTTCAAATTCTTAAACGCACCCTCTAAAATAGCGAATTTTGCATTTTGACCACCTCTACAACTATTAATCTTTTTTCTATTAGAAAGAGCATGTCCTAAAACCTAAATAACACGAAAAATAAGCATACTGTAAAAAAACAAAAATTTTCAAAATAGAAACTTTTTGCTAAATCAACCGTTTCAAATTCTTAAACGCACCCGCCTTTGCTGTTGTTATTTGAAATTTTTCGTTTTGTTGTGCATATTTTTTTATTAAATTTATAATTTTTGTTAATTTCCAAATAAATGGCACACGGAAAGCTGCTCACGGATTATGAGAAAGGTCAGATTGATGCCCGTTTGAGGATTGGCGTCTCAATAAGGAAAATCGCAAAAAATTTGGGCCGATCTGACTCTGCCGTGCGAAATTATGTAAAGTCCGAGTTCGTTTCTGCACCAAAGAAGAAGCCAGGACCAAAACCAAAGCTTACACCGCGAGCTAGACGCCATATTGTGAACAACATCCACCGAAAAACGATCAATGAAGTGAAAACGCAACGGAAAATCAACTCTTCGAAGTCGACAATTTGGCGAGCCATCAAGGAAAAACGCACATATCGATCGACAATTATTGAACATCCAACCGATCGTGAAGCTTTTGCACAAGAAAGCCCGATTGACCTTCGCCAAGACTCATATGAATCAGAATTGGTCTATGGCTGGAAAGCCGCTTATGTTTTATTATTTTTTTGCGTCTAGGTGATCTTTTCCTATGAGAAGAAATGGAATTTGGATGGCCCCGATGGCGTTGGCTACTATTGGAGGGATCTTCGACGTGATCCGATGGTGTTTGGAACTCGAAACTTCGGCGGTGGTTCTGTGAGGGTTTGGGCAGCCTTTTGTGCTGATGGAACGGTCGCTCTGAAGATGGTTTCAAATCGGATGACTAGATAGATATCTTGAACAATTGCTTGTTGCCGTTTTCGCTCCTAAATCAAGTCGTTCCCGATTTGTTTCAATACGACAACGCGTCAGCTCATCGAGCCGGAGATACCCGAGACTGGCTGAACAGCAACAACATTGCAACTTTGGACTGACCCGCTCAGTCTCCTGACCTCAATCCGATAGAAAATTTATGGGGAATACTTGTCCGAGCTGTCTACAAGAATCATCGTCAGTTTCAAGACGTTTCCACACGTAAAGCAGCAATTTTTTCGGCCTAGAGCGATCTCGACGTCTCTGCTCTTCAAAACCTCATCAATTCAATGCCAGACCGCATTTTTCAAGTAATTAATCGTTCTGATGCGTGTACAGATCATTAGTTTTGATTTTTTACCTTTGATTTTTAATTGGTGTTGATAAATAAAAATATTTTCATAGTGCGTTTAAGAATTTGAAACGGTTGATTTAGCAAAAAGTTTCTATTTTGAAAATTTTTGTTTTTTACCGCATGCTTATTTTTCGTGTTATTTAGGTTTTAAGACATACTCTTTCTAATAGAAAAAAGATTAATAGTTGTAGAGGTGGTCAAAATGCAAAATTCGCTATTTTAGAGGGTGCGTTTAAGAATTTGAAACGCACTGTAATTGATATTTCGAACTCGGCTTTGAGAGCGAGTACTTGAAAACGATACATTAGTTGAGCCATTCGGTGTGTTGGTTTGTTTCGTGTTGTTGAATCGTCACGACATTGAAAGGCATTACTAGAAGAGTGTTACAAGCAAAAGTGACTAACAACAACTATAAACTAAATAACTTACGCTGAATAAGGGCTACGAGGAAAGCTTGCAAAATAAGGTAATGGATAGTATCTATTCCTATGAGCCCTCCTTGTTGTATCAATGGATAGTATCTTTCTATGAGCTCTCCTTGTTGCATCAAACGAGACACTTGTTCTCAGAAAAACAAATTCTCACTTTGACCTTTCCAACCTAATAGAATAATAACGAATGACGGATACAGATAACTATAATAATTCAGCTATCTTATGATATGGCTCGAGATATCCGGAGACAAAATGTCTTAGAATCTCGTTTAAATTCCTGTGATGTCTAATTGGGCGATGGCCAATCTGAGTCATGTCTATCCATTGGTGTCACTGGCATTAAATGTGGGCACAATCGCGAAATTGTTGTATTTACGATGGTTTTCAATGGAGTGAGTCTGTCTTGTGCACCAGTTGTGTTAAATCCTTCAAACGGGATAGCTTCAGATTCTACACAAGAGCCATGTCTTTATAAATATTAGCAGATACCGAGTGCCTCAAAATTATCCGGAAAAATTTTAAGATTGCATAATTGCTCAAATACTTGGTCAAAAATTGATTTCAAGCACCATAACTTTATGGAAAACAAACATATAATTGTTTAACAATAATTTTTGCTCAAATTATCCGCTCTTCGCCGGAATACACCGTCACAAACGCTTGGGGACACTCGACAGCTTTCGCAATGACAGACATAGGAATTTCATTCCATGCCTTCTTCAATGAGATCATTAGTTGTGTTGTGCGTTTTGGAACATGCTTTTGCTTCTAAAATGGACCAGATAGAGAAATCCAGTGGATTGAGATCCGGGCTGTTGAACGGCCATTCGCCTGGACAACTTGCGCTCATATCAACGGTGATCTGACTAAGAACGTTTTGAGCAATTCTATCTTGCGTTTCTTTGGCTTTGTGCGATGGAATCCCGTCTCGCATGAATGTCCCATTCCAAAATGATTCGAGGCCCATGCAAGAACATCGTCTTTCAACGGCTTTCTGTATTGAACACCATCATCGACTTTCGCTCCTGCTGGCATGAAAAGAAGGGGCGTCTTGCCATCATAAGTTGTGTCCACCCAGACCATGACTTGCTTTGGTTTTTCTGTCGAGAAATGATGTTATCAGGGGGCTTGATGACTCAAGCTCTATCGTTCTGATGATTGTGTGCTTGCTCCACGTCAAACCCTTTATCATCACTGAACAAGATCTCTCGATGACGGTCGCCAAATCGCCTCAGAAGTCGTTTGCACCTTGCGAGCCGCTTTGTTTTCATTAGAGATGTGAATAATTGAGCGAATTTTCCTTTGTAGGCCGACATCCCAGCGTTTTTCAAGAGCTTGTGAACGGAATCCTGAAAAATTTCAACCACGGCACCAATCTTTCTTGTTGAGTTTATTGTTGATCTCACAAAGCGTTTAATCCTACCCAAAAGGTTTTTTCGATTTGCCGAACATTTTCGGCTTCTTCCAAGGCGGTCTTCATTAGATCCGGTTCAGTTGTAACGCTTGATCGGATCAGAAATCGTCTGTTTGGGCTCATGCAAAAGACGCGAAAGCTCCATCAAACGTTTTCTTTGATTATGAAGCCGAATAATTGCTTTCCAAAAATTCTTTTTCGATTTCATTTGAGGACAACGCCTAAAAACAAAATTAATTACATTTAATGAGTCAAAGAAAATTAAAAACACAAAAAACGCTTTGAAATGTGTTCGTATGATTTTGAGACACCCTGTATTTGCAGCAAACAAAAAAAAATTCAGTCCGAAACCAAATGACGGTGATACGGCTCAAAGGTTTACAAATCTGAATAGAAAACCCCCAAAATTTGAACATGAACTATTTTCAGGCAATACAAAAATCAAAGAGGACAAGCGATAGAGTTCAGCTTGTTGATGATCTGTCTGGTCAGCCTTTTAGGACAGTTCGGCCTCATGATTTATGCGGTAGGCGAGGAAAAAGAAAGACAAAATAAATGTTTCTTTCAGGATAACAAGACAGCGATTCTTGCGAATATGGCGACGGCCACATTGATCGCAAGTGGGGGATACAAATGGACGTACTGTAGTACAATAATTGTTTGCACAGCCAGTTGGTAGACGGTTGGAGGGGGGTGTTCTTGAAAGGCCCAGGGGACGGAGAGTGTCAAGCTTGTAATAGGGTGCACCCTATTACAAGGGTGTGCACCCGGGTGTGCATCTACTAGGTAATCCAACTATAGTATGCACATCCTCTTACATGCGCCGCACTCCCCGTGCCTGCCTAGGTTGCTCCTCCAACTTATTATAGAAAAATTAATATTCCTTTGTTAGGAAAAAAGTACACAATTTTCAGTTGAATCTTGTCTCTGATTGCTCGACTCTTTGCGAGGTTTATATCGGACTGGCAGTGAATAACACGTTGAGAAAAGCACTTTTCTCAATGCTCTCCAAAAAAGTATCCTATGTTTTCCCCAACGACACCAAGAAATCTCCTAATTTGCTTCAATTAACGAAAAGAAATACACCTCAACTTCAAAAATAAAAAAAAAATTGATATCACATTTTTGAGCTGTGTAACATTGCTAGTGTGATAAAAAATTTGAAAAAAAAAATGATTTCGAACTGATAATAAACTATTGAACAAGATACCATTGCCAAGAAAACGCCAAACAGCTATAAATGTAAGCTTGTAGTATACCCTGGTCTTTGTAAATACCGTAAATGATCTTTAAATCCGAAAGCACAAGTAGAGTCAATCGAAAGCCTTGATCATTATATTGTCAGCTCCGAGCCAAATTGATACTTTAGTTGCTATTGTTATTATTGAATGATTTGTCTATTCTTATGCAAATGTGTCCTCCCCTGTGCTTATCCCTTTTATTGCCGAGAAATGAAAAAAGGAGAGGAGATGTGGTGGTGCGAAGAATTGACGATGTTCTTTGTGCATCTCTTTTCCACAAATCCCTATCTATTCTACACTTTCCTTTCATCTATGACCTCTTCCACTATATATTCTATTCATCTTTGTCTCAAAAATCTCAAACATCTCTAGGTACTTTCTTTTTGATCTGTCAGCTCCGAGCCAAATTGATATTTTAGTTACTATTGTTATTATTGAATGATTTGTCTATTCTTATGCAAATGTGTTCTCCCCTGTGCTTATCCCTTGCATCGAGAAGGGGAGATCCTTGGGATTGCCTAGGAGGACAAGTGAGACTCTCATTTGGAATCCCCCCTTCCCCTTACACTTATTTGTAATCTATTCGTCTTATTATACTACTGTAAATAAAGATACATATCTTCCGGGTCTATGCAACTGCAGTACAGGTCGGTCATTTCACAGGGACTCCCCTCTAATACGTTGGAGGAGTTGAGTTGGGTTGTCGGGGTGTTAGAGATGGCGGGATATCAAAAGGGATCCACTCTCTTTAACTTAACCCAAATTCTAGTCCACATCCGTTTATACCTAGGAACGAATAATATCTACACTTGAAAGCAAATATAACATCAAAAGTTTCTATCCCAAATTCTGAATGTTAAATGGTAGCTTTTTTCGGCAAAAACTCAACCCAACTTTTACTATTTTGATCTGAGAGAGCAAAAGTCATTTTAAAATCGGATATACATATATTGCAATGCTCATATAACATCATTTCTGAACTTTCGGGACTTCTGAAAGAGCTTTAAGGGCTTTTTTTACTTTGACTGGAGGCAAAAAGTGAACTTCTGTTGTCAGGGTCGAGTTTTATATTGTCAAGTGTTCCATCTCGGAAACACAAAAACAAGTCTGTCGAAAAGTCTAGCTACCTCTGCTTCCCAACACTCAAAAAGAGCTACACCCTTCAGAAATAGACCATTTTTAACACGTATTGTGTAAATCGTAGTTGCAAAAAAGGTGCACACAAAAACTGAAGCGATTCGGTTGAAAGTTGTTTTGGTTATCGTGTTCTTGAGCTGTTCTTGATCTTGATATGTTGTAAGACCAAAATTCAATCACCTATTTAATCCTTTAGGACTAAAAAACCCCGGATGTTTGCTCTTATTCGCTCAATTTACTAAAAGACACGGATCTAATGACAGCGAATCTTGCAAAAACCTGAAAAAAAATCGAATTGTTTATGGGCAAAACGCACTTTTGTTTGTTTGTGCTCTCTTTCTGGAAGCCCCCCTTTTTCTTTTTGTATGTGACCGATTTAGTTCCTTTTTGTCAAAATGATCACTCGCCAAATTCGTTGAAAATCTTCCTATATAGGACTTCAAATCGACTTGATTAACAGTTTCATTTGAGCACAAAAAAATCACAACTCTTCTCGTTCTTCTGTACCAAATGAATTTCCTCATTCTTCTCCTACTCATTGCCATTCTCGCCCTCACATCAAATGCACAATGTAAGTAAACGGAAAACAGTGGAAATATGAGCAGCTTACGGGGGTGGGACAAATGCGACCTTTTTTTTGCCCACCTGGACATTTGCGCACCTTTTTTTGCTGGAAAGGCCTTAGGAAAGGTCGTAGAGCTTCAAAAAAGTTTTCATATAAGGGAATCGTATGCGTAGATTCCCTTATATGGAAATATTTTCGAAGCTCTACGGTCTTGCCTAAGGCCTTTTCCAGCAAAAAAAAGGTGCGCAAATGTCCAGGTGCGCAAAAAAAGGTCGCATTTGTCCCACCCCCCAGCTTACAAAAGAGTGCTCGTAGTTCAGCTCGTAGTTCGAGATCGGCTTGTTACTGAGTGGATAGAGTTGTAGAATCGATCACGTTGATCACGCTGTCGTGAAGATTAGAGAAGGATCGCAAATGCATCGCAAGAACTTAAGCGTCTCAGTGAATCGCAAGAATTTAAGTATCATGCTTTTAAGGTATTTTTGCGTATTCTTAGGACTTTTTCGTTATTTTCCCTTTTAAGCTTGCTTGCGATACAACTAATAAAAAGTTTTCGATCGGTCGGATCCATTCTCGACCGATTTTGATTTACAAATACTGCTTGAGGCTTGAGCACCTAACTGAATACAGAGTAGGGGAAAAGTTCATGGGCACTTTTTATTCCATCATTTTCTGAATTCTCAAAGATGGCTTGATAAAAACTTAAAATATCAAAAACAAAAGTTTTTTTGTAGAATTTCAGCTTCAAAATAAGCAAAAGAGTTTGAAAAAAATGGCAAAATTGAAGAAAAGACGGGCAAAAGAGTCGGAAAGCCTTCAATGTGCATCGGGGGAAAAGATGTGCACCTAATGATTTTCAAGAACACCCACAAAAACATCTCAATCATCTCAATTTGTTTATTTTGGTTTTTCTTAAGATTAGACACCTTAAACTACTAAATCATAATTGAATTCACAGCGCCAGAAGGGATTTGTTTACAATTTTAGCGCACAAAGTACACCCTAAAGCTTATTGAGTCTCAAGTTTCAACTTGAACAAGGCTAAACGAGCATGCATTTGTTTAATACTTTGAACAAATGCTTGAGCTTTGTCGCGCACAAAAATAAGAATCGAGTGCAAGGAGTGTGTTGTGAACTTTTTGAAGCTTAAAGTACACCAAAAAGAGCAAGGCAAAAGAGCAAAAAGGCTGAGAATCTTCAAAGTTTCCTTGTCTCCCGGAAAAAGTATTCAGGTTTGACTGAATATCTTTAGATTCATCGTTTTTTGGGTGGATTTTTGTGAACTTTTGTTTATTATAGGCTTACCCTGGGTTAAGAGAGAGAGAAAAAATTGAAAAAATCTTCTTGAAAACCTCAAAAAGTTAGTGATCAAAAGGCTTAAAAGTGTGCGCCAGAGATCGTGCTCGGTTTAGTGAATGAAGCAACTAAATTCAAATCTAAAAAAAAGTATTTGATATTCTAATAGTCATAGATTTTATATTTATTAAGTTTTTATCAAGCCACCTTTGAGAGTTCAGAAAATGATTGAATAAAAAGTGCCTAGGAACTTTTCAGCCACCCTAAAGGGAATCGCCCCCAATTCAGGTAAGGCTCGAGCCCAGGCCCATTCTGAGCAGTTTTTCATATTGATTTAAAATTAGCTTTTCGTTCCTCCAAAAAGACGCCGAGCCATGAGTGTTTGGCTTCAAAGTTTGATAGGCTTTTCAGTTAATTTTCTAGAATTTTCAAGTATTTCTGGGTCTTGAAATACTTGAAACTGATTGACTTTAAACTAACTGAAAAGCCTATAAAACTTTGAAGCATTATATACAGAGCGAAAAAAAAGTCAGAAAATGGCAACACAATGCACTTAGACTTTATAAAAGAAAATCTGAACATAGATATTGCGAAGCAGATTTGTTTTTGATTGGAGAGTAGATCTAATTATTGGGAGCAAAACAATCCTACTTGAAGTCCGTGCCTAGGAACTTTTCAGCCACCCTAAAGGGAATCGCCACCCTAAAGGGAATTAAAGCCACCCTAAAGGGAATTAAAGCCACCCTAAAGGGAATTAAAATTAGCTTTTCGTTCCTCCAAAAAGACGCCGAGCCATGAGTGTTTGGCTTCAAAGTTTGATAGGCTTTTCAGTTAATTTTCTAGAATTTTCAAGTATTTCTGGATCATTACTTGAAATACTTGAAACTGATTGACTTAAAACTAACTGAAAAGCCTATAAAACTTTGAAACCAAATATCTCATGGCTAAGAGACGTTTTGGCAAAACAGAAAGCAGATTTGAAATCTGCTTCCAAAATTGTACAGAATGTACCCGGACTCGAGCCAAACGCACTGCGATCTTTCTCTAGTACTGCGCCAAAAGCACATGCGATCTTTCTCTAGTATGCAAATAAGCTACGATATTTTCCAATAGGTTAGCAATAAAAATTTCGAAAATTCATTTACTGACCCTTTTGAATGAGAGCTAAACAACGCTTTTCACAACTAATTTCTTCTTTTCAGGGGGCTGGGGATCGGGCTATGGAAGTGGATATGGAAGTGGATACGGAAGCTACTACAGTCCCTACTATAGCAGGGGATATTATGGAAAATAGAGATACTTTATATTGGCCTCCACGATCATCTCAACAGCCTATTAATGCTATTATTAAAACGTGTACAACAAATAAAAAAGCTTCAGTGATTTGGGATGCGAATTGTAGACTTAAACTGAGTGTCAGGATGACGTCATATGTACACTACTGGACAATGAAATATGATATCTGAAAAAAGATCGTCACTTTCGCGCGTCTGTAACTCCCTTGTCTTTACCGTATTTCTAAATATTAATATTACCATTGTGTAGCGCTTGAAAAGAGCTTTCAGAAAATGTATAACACTAATAGTTTAAACTTAAAGACAAGGAAGTTACAGACGCGAAAAAGTGACGATCGTTTTTTCAAATATGATATTTCATTGTCCAGTACTGTATCATGCACAAATGCACCAGCGTCACATGGCACAAACTTTGCCTCTTAGAAAAAGAAAGATAGTTCCCATTTTTTCAAAGCGTTTATTCTCGTTGATATACAAATGTGCAGTGATAACAAACATCAAATGCATTATATACAGTGCGAAAAAAAGTCAGAAAATGGCAACACAATGCACTTAGACTTTATAAAAGAAAATTTGAACATGGATATTGCGAAATTGTTTTGTTTTTGATTGGAGAGTAGATCTAATCATCGGGAGCAAAACAATCCAACTTGAAGTCCGTCTAGGAAATTAATATTTCATTGTTTGAAGTCTTACTTCGGCTTTTTATAGGAATCCTAATTTAAGCATTCGCCTTTCTCTTTTTCACTCACCACTCCATCAAAGCTCCACTGTTCATCATCGTTACACACAAATGGTCGATAGTCGCCTCCAGCAATGGTGCTATTGTAGCCAATCTATAAGTTTTCAATATTTAGTAATTGATTTCCTGATTCTATTTCTCAGAATAATTAAGGACAAACCGAGCTCTTTCCATCTTCTCTGTAACCGTATAAATTTTCTGTATAGGATTCCCCTTGCCACAACTCGAAGACGGCCTGAAAAGTTGATTGTGGGACATTTGAAACGCGCCCCGCCCCTTTGCCATTAGCATAATAGCTTTGAGCTGAAATATCTTGGCTTTGGGCTGTCCAATTGAAATAGCTTTTGTACCAATCAACCGAGAAAGACTTGGTCCATCTAGTGATACTAAGAGTATTTAAAGTGGACACCCAGAAGCCAATGGCGAAAGGGGCGGGCGCGTATCAAATGTCCGATAACTTGAAAAGTTAGCTATTGTACAGCTTGGCTTTTTTCCAGATAAAATTGACTTACGGTCGTTTCGGGAGCATTCACTCGACAAAACCAATCGGCAATCAAACAATTGTTGTTGGCTGGATCATTGCTGAAAGTAAGTCTCATTACCTTAAAGGGGCATTACCTCATTGAGCCATTCAGTTGATAGCCGTTCATTATACCAAAAACTTGTGCGATAACTCAATAAATCTCACCTGTAGCGGTAAGCTGGCGTTCCCAATTTGGCGTAGTACTTCTCGTTGTATATTTCGTCCACGTTTTTCGTACATCTTTGACAAGCTGAAAAGAGTTGTTCGCTTCCTAACAACGGTTATTTCAATAGGAAAAAACTGGCCTAATCTTTTGCCTTATTCCATTACAAATAAGCCATTACAACTAAATAATTGTAATTACCGGTTAAAGGCGTTGTCGTGGTCTTCTTTGAGGTGGTCTGGACACCGTCGCACAAACCACAAGAAACAGGACAATAGTCTTTCTTTGTTTGTGTGCTGTATTCGGTCGATTCACAGAAGTTCAAGTCAGCGATCCACCCGGGACAGCTACAAGCTTTTGAGATACACATTCCATCAATCACATATCATGTTGAGTACGAAGTCTTGCACCCACATTCATTTTCTAATTGAATAAGTCTCAGACTTCTTTCGTTAGATAGCCTAATCATTTCTCTTGCAAATCTCTTTTGAAAACTTCTGAAAAGCTTTGTTTTTAAGGTTTTTCATTAGCAAGAAGCCGAGTGTTCAAAAACGACAGGGTCCGATGGTGCGATTTGGACCGTTTCTTTGAATTAAACCTATTTTGATGGCACAATAAAAAAGATAGCGCCCAAGTATTAGGTCCACAACCAAGATTTCAGAATAATTCGTTTAGCGGTGTTCTTTATGTGTTCATTTTTCAAGATTTTTAAAAATACCAGTTTTCGGACTCGCAGATTATTCTAAAATACTCAAAATTGTTTAAAAATGACAAAAAGTAAATGATAAACATTTATAATGAAAGAAACCGTTTGGTATTTGGTAGTTTAAGACTCGTCCATTTCGATAATGAAATGATGGGTACAAGACTTAGTACTGAACCTAATAGTTCTAATGGTGTAACCCATTTTTAGCACTTATGCTCTTGTTTAGTCTTATGGTCAACGAAATCTATCCTGATCGCCTTAAACAGTGCAAAGTTCACTCAAATGGCTCAATTCACTCGGATATGTTCATAAAAATGGAGTCAGCATGTCTCATTGATGCACGTAAATCAATAGAGCTTGGCTTTTCTAGTTTTCGTTCTCGCAGACTATTCGAAAATATTAAGAATTGTTTAAAAATGACAAAAAGTAAATGATAAACATTTATAATGAAAGAAGTCGTTTGGTATTTGGTAGTTTGAGACTCATTTAGATAATGAAATGAAGGTAGTACTCAACCTAATCGAACCCACCCAGTTTTATCAGTACATGTCGTAGTTGTCGTTGTTGGTGCCTTCGTGGTAGTGGTGCTTGTTTTTGTTGTGGGTGCTGGCCAAATCTGATCACTACACATCTTGCAAGAGACTGGGCAGTTCTCTTTCTTCTGCGCTGCACCATACGTCGGTTCATCGCAATAGTTGTAATCAGCAATCCATTGGGCACAACTGGAAATTATCCACCCACCATGCCATTTCAGCAATGGTATTACTCACAATGATTTATCAACACATGCTGCCTTCTGCGTTGTAGTTGCCGGTTTTGATGTGGTTGTTGATGGATTTGTCGGCGAGTCATAAGTGGCACTAGCATACGGCATTTGGCTTGTCGTAACGGTAGAAGTGGTTGATGCGGATACTGTAAGCACACAGTTAATTTACCTAAAAAAAACTAGCACTCGCCAGATCTGTAGGTAAACGAATAAGAGCTAATCCGGTATCGATTGTTGATGATTACTGGCACTATATGGCCTTCAGAAATAATTTTCTTCCCGACATCCTCTATGCAACAATAGCTGAAAGAATTGAAAAGTTTAAGCAATCCGAAAACGAACAGAAAGCGATTGGTTCCTCCGAGGACCGATTTTTGGACTAGACTACGGCTTAATCATTCAGGGACTATACAGGGTGTTCGATACAAAAAGCTTCTGGTGGCAAGAGGATCGGGGTTGTGGTGCCAAAGTAAAAGATTTGTGCTCTCATTTTTTCACTGTTTTTACGCTTTCATGATACCCCTATCATGAGCCTGAGACCATGGTCATTGTCATTCAAACACCTTATGGACTGTTGAGATCTTACAAAAATTTGGGGAAGTATTCAAACATGAATCTTTAAGAGACCAATGTGATGATCAATGACAAATGAAAATGTATACACCACGATGTCCGTACAAAGTATTAACTTTATGCCAAAAGTGTAATCGTGGTGATGACCATGGTGGCACTATCAGAGTCATCAATAGGGGTATCATCAAAGCGTAAAAAAGTGTATCATTCACTTTAGCACCAAAAGTATAAAAAATGAGAGCCTAAATCTTTCACTTTAGCACCAAAAACCACCACCGTAATCCTCTTTACACATCGAGTAAATTGAATATCTTTACATTTGAAGGGAATTTGCCACTCTTGCTTATTGTTTGGATAATCAAGCCATTGTTCAAAATCTGGGATCTCTATGAGAAACGAAAATTTTGGCTAACAATAAGCCGACTAACCGGAGCCCAGTGAGTCGATGATCGCTGCTCCCTTTCACCTCGATGCTTTTTTGTGTACAACCCGCTGTGCATTTATCGCTGGTGAGAGCCTTGATCACCACCTCGACTTTATTTCCGGCAGGAGCCTGGGAATGATTTTGCTATCTGCGGGTATTGCTCTACTCACTTTAATCAAAAAACTGCACGTCTCAAAGGTGGGATTTTCAACATTAGCTGTTCCAATAGTCCAATTTTGCGTTTGTAGCGTTGTAGTGGCCGTCAGAGTAGCTCCACAACCGGGCGCCTAAAGCAGGAAGTTATTCCCAAAATTAGCAAAGCTATCGCCAACCCTATCCGAGCAAGTCGGTCCACCCCATCCACTTGGGCAAAAACAAATATTGCAGTTTTTCGAATCTCTGAAGCCTCCATTCACACATGTTGCCCCAGTTGGACAGAATTCTATAGTTTTTTTTGCTTACTTGGTCTCATCTTTTATCATATATTTTTAAAATTATGATTTCATTCAACAATCAATAATAGGACCAGTCTTTGGCTCTAGAAAATTTTTTTGTTAAAAGTTTAGACTATGATTAACTAGTTTAACTATTGTTGATCGCTATGGCTAGCTGTTTAATTCTTAAACTTTGTTAAACTTTAGACAACAAACGTTTGCATTGATAATGTTCGTTCATCATCGAAATATCGTAGAAGGACACCTGATTTCCCCCCATCACATTTTGATAAGGTATAACCTGGAATCAGAGAATTACTTCTAGTCAGCAATTCTCTTGGTTGAAGTCAATGCTGGCTATTGGCTATCAAACCTTGGCCATCATCGTCTTTGTCGTACCGTCAATGGAAAAGGCCGTCTCATCGTATTGCATGAGACTTCCATAATCATATGGAATTCCATAGTTGTAGTTGCTGGTGTTGCTGGTCTAAAACTAGCTGTCGTTGCCACAAGACTGAAACAAGCCTCGCGATAGTTTCCTTTACTCTCCGCTTTCACATTATCCAGGTATACGGTTATGGAATCATTTCTGTCGAATCGGCTCATTATGTGAAAGAATCCGAGAGCGTGAGCGATCTCGTGAGCCGCGTTACGAAACTGAAATCCACTCTTATAAACAAGGCTACACGAGGCTCTCAGAAAAGGCATCGGGTGAGAGCTAAAATACAATAAATCTGGAAAGTAGAAAAAAAGATAAATAAGGCATGTTAATATATATAAAAATCAAGTGTCTGTCTGTCGGCGGCCTATGGGAGGGAGGGCTCGACAAACTTTGCATTAGCCTCAAAACACTCAGACAGAGAAACCTCAACTGGTGTTAATAATAAAGTATAATGTTAGTAAAGTTAATAAGGCATAACTCGCTTCAGTCTTAGTTTGCTAGAAAGAAGTTTTTTTTACGAAATTTCTTGTAAATCGAGTTTTTCTGGCTCACTTACATTATTAGCACAGCCTTCTGTCAATTGGATACTTTGCTCTCCACCAACCATTCCAACATTCGAATTGCAAAGGGTGCCCAAGTAGAAACGGACACGATTTCTGAATATTATCATCATCATGCCAGGCTAGTCATGAAAAATTGCTGGTTATTTTGATCCTCCCTCCGCCTTATTATGAAAAACTTACGGAGCATTTTCGTCTTCCACAAAATTGATACAAGTCACATTTGCCCAAAAAGCGATTGCCATTCGTGCAACCGTTTGTTTGGCCGGGGCATAATTTTCATCAAAATAATAGTAGAAAGTTGTACCCCAGGTAATGTACGGATATCCACCATCATAATAGGCCTGCACAGTTCAGATTGGAAAACAAACGGCCTTCAGAAAAAAACCTGTCTCTTCTCTCTTGTTTCAACTTGTCCTTCGACTTCATCATCATCGACAAACTCTCCAAGCAAAGCATCGACTTGCGCGCTATAGAGAAAAAAAAAGGTATATTGTCAATCCTTTAAAAGAAAAGAAAATTTTGTATTGCCTCACGATCAGCTCAATCTTCAATACCCATTTAAGCCATAAAGTGCTGTTTATAGAAAGCCCTTTTTTTCAGAAAGCCCTTCGGAGTTTCTTTCGTCAAGCTTGCCAATAATAAAAACTTTAAAAGACGATTAATTTCTACAGGTTTAATTCAAAGTTTAGATAAAGAAAAAAGAAAACGAACTCTGTGAGCTTCATATCTCCTCCATACAATGATTCGGCCAAACCAGCAGCCTGATTGATCTGGAAAATAGTGAATCCCATCTTCTTTATAAGAAGCCAATTACTAATACAATATAAAGAAAAGTGAAAAAAGCATAGAAACCCTGAAAAGTCGACGAACCTCATCAATGGTCTTTTCATTTGGGAGTCGTGGGGATCGAACGTAGTTTTGGAGATGCTGAAATGAAAATATCACTAAAAGAAAAGGAATTTGAAGTTCGATTTGAAATTATGTAAATTCATGTAAAGAAACTTTAAGCTTTGCGGCCCATTCAGCTTTTTCCGCATCGGTTGGCTTGTAATCTCTCCTCGCTGTGTTCATTCGATCCAATGCCATTAGGAATCGGTCAACGTTTGTTGCCCGTCCGAAAGACTAAAATAATATTTTGATTGACTTTTAGGCGAGATCGAAACTATCTTTACAGTACTCGCCGGCAGAAAGTGAAGCTGTCACTGAAGCTGTCACTGAAGTGAAGCTGATACTGTGTTACCTGTTTGAACTCATTGATTTTCTCCTTTGACAGCATTCCCCATTTATGCTTGATGAACGGCAGTTTTCCTTGGATTCGCCCGAGTCCAATCGACTCGACACAACACACGGCAAGGAGGAACAACAAAGAGACATGAAAGAGTTGACTTGACATTCTAAAGAGAAACGGAGTCTTTATTTAGGAGTTGGGCTAAGAAAGAAAGGACGTAATCCAACTTAAAGACTGCTTCTAATAATTTGCTAAGATTGTAAAAATATTGTACAAATATCATATAAAAAAACCGAAAACCCAGATCAAAATCAAAAAACGAAAAACCCACTATACCCCTTCTCAAAAAAGTCAAGATCAGGTTGTGAGCGAGAGCGATCATTCAGTCGCCGTTGTACTTTTGATTCCGGTCCTCTCTTATATAATAGATGACAGCCGCAAAAATGACCGTGATTTCTTTTTGTGCGGCACGTAGACATTTTTTAAAATTAAATTCTACATCGACCGGAAATCCAAATTCTATTGTAGAAGAAACAAGAAAAAAAAAATCCCAAAATACCACTTATACACTCTTGACCCCCAACTGTGCCAGTCGAAAATTTCCCTTTTTGCGTTTGCACGAGACGCTTCTATCATGAATGGCCTATATGGAAGTTGGCTATACGATTTTCTATTCTATATTGAAGTACAGTCTAAGTTCTTTCTAAAATCGTCAATTCAAAAGCCTATACACTTTTGATCTCTGGGTCTCTGAAAAAATTCATTTCAAATTTTTTTGGAATTTTTCATATTTTTGCTCAAAATCCAGGATCTATCAGTATTGTTTCTATATTGTTTTTGTTGTTGTTTTTGTTTCTATATCGATTCTCTCCAAATTTATCGAACCTTATCGATAAAGATAGATACAGTCATCAAAAAAGTCTTGACCCATTGCTCCTGAAAGGATTAAAACAAAACTTTTTGGACAAAAATGACCGTTTCAGAAAAACCTTTAGAAGAAAGCGAATAATTTAGCGAATGTGCTCTGGTTTTCGGATTAAGGAGCTGTTTTTATTGGGAAGCAGTCTTTAAGTTGGATTACTTCCTTTCTTTCTTAGCCCAACTCTTAAACTGTTCAAAGACTCCGTTTCTCTTTAGAATGTCAAGTCTTTCATGTCAACTCTTTCATGTCTCTTTGTTGTTCCTCCTTGCCGTGTGTTGTGTCGAGTCGATTGGACTCGGGCGAATCCAAGGAAAACTGCCGTTCCTCAAGCATATATGGGGAATGCTGTCAAAGGAGAAAATCAATGAGTTCAAACAGGTAACACAATATCAGCTGTCACTTTCTTTCAGCGAGTACTGTAACGATAGTTTCGATTCATTGGGGGCGATTCATTTTAGCACAAACAAACTAAGAACATTAACTTTGAGTCGCAAAAAAACTCTTGACCCACTGGTTGATTGTTATGAAAACTTTGTTTTTGATACATTATTCTGATTTTTCGGAATTAATTTATTATGTTCTAGGAAGAGATATCTGGATACTCCGACAAAGTAGAATATTTTTTCCCTCTGATGGTTTTGAGGCATCAGCGATTGCGACTGGCCTTCGTAAAGAGGTACAAACATTGGACGGTAGACGATTGCAAGAGGGTTCTCTGGAGTGACGAGACAAAGATCAACATGTTCAACCCGGATGGTGATCAAATGATTCGACTATCATACATCGACCAGCTCAAAAAACTCGATGAGAAGTTTAAGCAAAAGCACCTCAATTTGAAAAAGTCATTCTCCAACACGACAACGCCCGTTCACCTATGGCAAAGTTAACCCACTCCACAATGCACGAGTTAAACTGACAATGGAAAGTCATGAGGGTGATGTGGAGATTGAAAATGAGACCTAGACCTTCAGATGCAGAATTTTTCGCTGATTCTGATGCTGTATGACGCGGAATCGCGAGAGATCTGCCACAAAAATTTTTGGCGTATATCCTTAAGGCCTTTCGTAAGGGCGGAAGGGCTGGAGCGGTGGCCGAGTGGTAGAGTGCTCGCTTGCAAGTCTGTTCCTCGTAGGTTTGAATCCTCTTACCTTTTCTTTCTTTTGCTTTTTTTGGAAACCTATTTTAGATCAACCTAAGCTGTCAACTCTTTTGGTTTTTGAGAAAATCAGATTTTTGTAGAGCGCAATACTATATCTGCCGCACCCTGCACATAACTGTTCGCACTTATTTCGAGCTCTAATCATGTTTCGACTCAGCTTTTCTTAAATCAATACATTTCTTTAATGTTACATAAAGCAACCATAAACTTGAATCCTTCACAATGAGAGCTCATCGATTATGCAGAGTCATAAGTATTATAGGCTATAGTAATAGGTTATAATTACAAGTATAACCGAGTTCAGAACCAAATTAAAAAGCCAAACCATCCAATAGTAGTAGGAGGATGTCTCATGATCAGCTGGGTAATCGACGGGCGATCGGTCGGTCCAAGAGCCACTTCTCGTAGCGCCCGTCCCATAGAGACCCGTTCACGCCCACAGCTCGTCACATGATTCTTGCCCACCCTTGAGGCAATTCTTTCTAATATCATTGAGTGTCAACTATTAAGTTCAGGTACAGTTTCTTTCTAAAAAGACACCATGACATGCTCACATTTTCTCTCATCTCCACCCACTGTACCCCCTACAACAGCAATTCTTATCCGATGTTGCCAAATTTGGCTCTCTTCTGCCCATTTTTCTTAAGATTGAGACTTTAATGGAAAAAGTGAAAATCTTACTAAAAAGAAATAATCAATGGATGTGTTTTTCAACAACCTGACGTGTGAAATACCGTAAATACTTTTGGCATTGAAAAATTTATTGAATTTAAGACAATCTTACTTGACTGGAGGGATGATCGCCCTTTGATCTGACCTTGTGACTTTATTTAAGACTTTTAGGCTTTTTATCCTTTCTTTTATCTCTTGCTAAACAGTGTCATTGTTATTATTTCGGAGACGGAGTGAACTTTTCGGAAGCAACGCACAAAGTGATGGACCTTTGGTCTAAAAGCAAACGATTTGTGTGTATTTTTTTCTTGCTTCCTCTACTAGATCAGCATAATACTATATCATACAACTCTTGGGTTTTAGGTTAGATAACCACACCAGCATGCACAATTTTATCATTGATCAAGATAACGTTTTCATATTTATAGATTCTCATCTGACTGTGAGACTAATAAAAAGAGTTGGACCCATTTTGGACCAAACGACTGGTAGAACCTTAGGGGATCGGCAAATGTCTTGTATTACCACTTTCTTTAAAGCATTACTAACAGTTAAAGCCGTCTAGTTCAAATTGAATAGATGAAGATGCTAATATCTAGAGTTCTGGCAAAGGCTCGGCTAGAACTAGAGACTTATTGGGTTGGGGAGAATGAAATGACGCCGAAAATCAAAGAAATTTCTAAAACTACTTCGCCAAATGATACACATTTGATATTAGCAGAAAGTTTAACTAATTCTCTACAAAATGACATTTAAAAGAGAACTCAAACAGCGCCTCAACAAAAGGCAATTTTTTCACAAAATCTATAAATTTTCATCTAGAAAAAACGGTTGGAGCGATCTTTCTGAAAATTTGGCAAATAATGTAATTGAGTGTGCTCTACCTTTTTATGAAGACACCAAAGGAGATTTTAGTGAAAAAAAACTCTTTCAAACGATGCGTCGAACTCTGCCATTTTGACTAGCGGTTTTTGGGAGTCCATAAACTCGACAAAAGAAAAGCTTTATGGAATCTCTCAAAAGTCATTTTGTAAAGAAATAGTGCACCGTTTTGATGAGAAAAACGCGTGTTTAAAGAGGGCTTTATGCGTGCAAAAGGTGTCTTTAAAGTTCGGCGCCATTTCATTCTTCCCAGCCCAATAGCTCTGGCCTAATTGTGGATTTTTGGATGAGTGTTTGTCGACCTCTGAATGGGAGTCGCCTTGACTTCCCATTGCGATCGAAGCGTATCAAAATAAACCCTCCTCGCCTGCGCTCCCAAATCAATCAATTCCTTTGTTTGATCGACACGTTTCTTTTCGCCTTTCACAACAATCACATAAACTATCCACGGGGAGATCATCGTGAAATACATTGGCATCTAAATGAATAGAACAATAGAGTATTCATATGTTCATAGCGTACAAAAATGAGTCCTCCAACAGTCGTACCCAGCAGATCTCCCATTGGCCAATATGTTCGATAGGCCACAGCGATGAAAGTGAAAGCAAGAAATGAGAACGCGTGAAAAAGGCTGAATATTTGTTGTCAGCGTCTTTGTCAGCGGACAAATTAAGCCAGAGATTTTGCACAAGACCCGGATGGACCCGATGAATTTCTCTTGGGAGAGTAGAGACACTCCACGGCACTCGTTCACATTGCTTTTATACGGAACTCAGGCGTTGGTCTCGTCTTGTACACAATGGAGTTGAACGGATAGCGTCGCATATTAAATCTCGCACAATAGGCGTTCGTCCACATAGGTGCCTAGCTGGCTCATCGTGCCAGTGCCTAGCTCATCGTACAAAAAAATAAAGACTGAAAGGAAAACCATGAGGTGAGAAAATCGGTTTCATAAAACTACGCAACAATATAGTTTACCTCTTTGCCCCATTGCAAGTTTTATAATCTCTTTTCCTAATAAGGTTGGTTTTCTTTTGAGGTTTTCCCTTGGGTTTTCAGACAAATCAAATTTTTTACCTGCTTAATACAGCTATGAAATACTATATCTACCAATGAAACCCTCAAAATTTCAGCTTCATTGGTCTGATCCTTTTGAGAAAGAAAAGAAAGACGAAGAGGAAAGAGGCGGACAAAGGCTTAGCAGCAATTAGCATCTCAAAAATGGTTGCGAGCAAAAACATCAGCAAAACTGTTTCGACTTTTGTCACCTCGAGTTGAAAGCTGAAAGCTGAATTCTTTCTATTTTTAAAAAACCTTCTGTTTGCTTGATTTGGTTTTATTTTTTTGTTCATTTGTTACGGGTGTAATCGCTTTTCGCTTTCATTGACGGATGAATACGGAAAAAAGATTTATTGATGCAATGACATTTTCTAATTACAGTTTATGCACTTTAAAAAGCCAATCAGAATCAGTTGCAATAACACCAAAGGTTCATGCAGATTCCTCCCTGGGGATATTGGTTGATTGTACAGCACGTGTAACATGATCCCACCTAAAATCGGCAAATTTCATTTGTGTTTATGCATTAACGATTTACGTTTACGTTGTATTCACGTTTAAAAGTGGAGAGATTTTGTCTGAGAGTGTGACTTACGGTGCAATTGACATCACAGAGTGCGACATGGATCACGGTGAGAGACTCTGGATGGGCAACGGCGGAAACGGCGGAAACGGCGGAGACGTCGGAGACGTCGGAAACGGCGGAGACGATCGAGAAGTAGGCTCCTAAATCTTGCTCAATGAGAAAATAAATAAAATCTTGGTAAAGAACCGATCAAGTAGGCATATTAGAATGTTAAAGGCGAGTCATAGGGTATATCGAGTTTAGAGACTACGAAGACTTGTCTGAAAAAAGAAGATTGAAAAGGATTAACTGAATATTAACTGAAATTCATTTGGCTTGAAGTTTCTTCAGAAGTTCCTTGTTTTCATCATGTTTTTTCTTATTTTAGGTATATGAAGCCTATCCACGTATTACTGAGCAGTTTAAAGCATTTCTTATAGTTTTGTGTAAGTAACTGTAAATTCTTAGATCTAGTTATCCCTGAAAATGCCTGGAAAGGATGGTCCGGAGATCTTCTTTTACCTTGCAAAATACGAGGGGTTTTTTTGAAATTAGAGCTTGCTTTTTTAAGTTTACAAAATTTCAAAGCTCCTCTCTTGAAGATTAACCTTAAAGCCAAAACTCACCGAAAGCGAAGAGTACGGCGCAGAGAATGGGGAAAGCTTTCATTTCGAAGAGGACAGGATGAGTGTTTGCAAAGAAATGGGATTGTTCCTTATCTTCTTTATATACCCATCCTTGTTCATGATCTTTTTTTTCGGGTTTTTCCTTGCCATTCCGTTCAACCGAGTTGACCTTGTCTCCGATGTATTCGCCTTTTTTACAGTTATCCAGCTTTTTGCAGCTATCCCGAGAAATTCGTGCAAATTTCCCCAAAAAATGTGCAGGAGAGCGCTGAAATATCAACTATCCCCCTCCGAGTTCTTCCCTATCGGATCATTTCTTGCGACGGATTTTTTTTCAAGTGATGGATTTATCAAGCTTTCGGGGGTACACATTCCCCCTTTTCCCTTTCCCGTCTCTATTTTTCTAAATATCCCATTAGACTTTTCAATTCTTTCAATGGGAACTTCCTGTACTGGTCAGAGAAATGGCGAAAACTCTAAATATATCCATTTCCCCGTGTTCTTCCACCCTATCCTTTACCCACAAAAGAACCGGCTAAAAAGAGCTGACCTTCAAGATTGGGAAAAGACAGCTTAGCACAAAAAAATACACAAACTATACCAGTAATTGAATGGAAAACAAATAATAGTGAACTTTGACGCTAGATGGGTAAAATCACTATCATGGTTGTATATACCCGTCATATTGCTTTACAAGAGGACCTTAAAGTTATACACAAAAATATACACAAACTATACCAGTAATTGAATGGACCACGACTAAATTTTGACTGGACTGGAAAATGTCATTGACTGGAAACTGGAACTGGATCAATCTGGACTGGAAACTGTTCAACTTTTAGACAGTTTTTGAGGCACTTTTGATGCCCAAACCCGTAATTGAAATTTAAACATTTAAACGTTTATTTTTATTTTTTTTGTGATATTGTGCTGCTGAAACTGCTTTAATTTCTTTATTCAAATTGGGATTTGATCGCCTCGATCAACTTTATTTACCTCGATTTTATTTACAAGTTGAAATTGTACAATTCAGGAGAAAGAAAAAACATTAATTCATTTTTTATTTTCCAAAATAACACCACATATTTTCAACGCTGTTATGACACTCCAGATAGGAGATTCGATTGCCCTAAAGCCTAAAAAACGATAGCTGTAAAGCTGATGGACAAATAGAGTTCATAATTGATTAGGATTAAATTGTTAAATCTCTAATGTGAAAAGAGAGGACCAAATTCTAGCTACTTTCTCTAAAGTACCTAATCTAATCAACAGAAAGTAGTAAAACTAGATACAAAATTAAATTTCCTACATTTTTATGTTTGCGTTAGCCCAAATGTAAAGTTATGACGAAAAACTGAAGGGGGTGTAGTTCATTTAGATACACATCCCCAACCTCCCCCCCCCTAGTTTTTCAATAAATCTATTAAACTTTTCAATTTTTATCGAAGCTGTCTGTTGACTAGCTACTAAACAAACCCTTTTACTGGGAACTTCCCGTACTGGCCAGAGAAATGGCGAGAACTCTAAGTATATCCATTTCCCGAACTTTCACGTTTCTTCCACCCTATCCTTTACCCACAAAAGAACCGACTGAAAAGAGCTGACCTTCAAGATTGGGAAAAGACAGCTTAGCACAAAAAAATACACAAATCATCCCAGTAATTGAATGGACCGCGAAATATAATAGTGAGCTTTGACGCTAGATGGGTAAAACCACTATCATGGTTGTATATACCCGTCATATTGCTTTACAAGAGGACCTTAAAGTTTCTGTTTATTGAAAAATGTAGTTTTTTTTCCTCGGTTTTGTGCTGGGAAAAAAAGCAGTTGATTCGCGGTAATCGGTAATCGTTCGAGTTCATGCGACAAGTCAGAAATATCAAATCAAGAATTGATTTGAATTTTGCCAGCGGTGGTTTTCCATCTTTCCCCAACGTTGCGAACGATTCTTGATCAGCGGTCTCCGTTTTCGTATTCATAAATGCATAAACACATGACAGAAACATGGGCTCGGACTAAAAGGTTAAAATTATGACACAAAAAAATGTTATACCTCAACACCGAGCATCGTCAGTTGTTTAAATTCATGTGGAGCAGAGGCAAACAGTCCATCAATCCATTCGAACGAGGTACAACGAGGTTGTATCCAGTACTGTATCTGAAAAAACTGCAGCCACTACAAGACACAGACAGAAAATGGGATATTTAAACGGGCGAGTGTTTCACTTGTTGTGTCGCTCACTCGCATCCCTTCGGTGACGATTGCATTGATGGACAAGCGCCTTTGGAAACTTCGGGAAATAAACTCGCTTTCAATGTTCTTATGTCGTAAAACCAACCAATAAAAAGTCGAGATTTTCACTGTGGATCAAATACAAATGCTTACACTGTAACCAAATCTGACTATGTACAACTGACCAACAAAAGATCGGTTTTTTTTAAGTAAGATTGGTTTAAATTCAATTGCCGAACATCACAGTAACTTTGTAGCCTAAATGGACAAAATTTGCCATCAAAATGGATGAATTTATTTCACTTTAATGCTTTGATCCACACAGATAATAGATGAAAATAACCGAGTGAACAAAACGAGAAATTAGATTGATTTTACATTCCAAGTAGAGATTATCTACACATGGGCGACCACGGACAAATCGTTTGCAATTCTGAGTTTTTTTAGAAATATTCCCATTTAAGTTTTTCGTTTTTTATTAAGTTCGAAATTGAAGTCTGTTTTTAATTCAATTTTCGATTCAATTTTGTTATAAAATCCTAAAATATTACAGTACTGGACAATGAAATATCATATTTGAAAAACGATCGTCACGTTCGCACGTCTGTAACTTCCTAGTCTTTAAGTTTAAACTATTAGTGTTATACATTTTCTGAAAGCTCTTTTCAAGGGCTATACAATGGTAATATTAATATTTAGAAATACCGTAGTTTTTGACGCATTTCAGAGCGCGCGAAGGTGACGATCGTTTTTCAAATATGATATTTTTGATTGTCCAGTACTGTATATTACTGTAGATCTACAGTGGTCTATTTTCAAACCAAACAATAAGTCAAAACCTTTTTGAAATGCAAAGTTCTTGATTCCAAAAAACAAATGAACTTTTACCTCCAAATTTCAATCAATTAAAAGATTCATTTAGTTCTAAAAAATTCGAATAATTGAATGATAATCGTTCTTTTTTCCAACGTCAGCTGAGGGCAAAAACTTTGGGTTTAATTGGTGGGTACAATACGTAGAATAGTCGGTATTTGGCTTCAGAAAATGATAAAATCTCTATTTTCCAAGAACTGAGCTTATTTATTGTTATCGAAAATGGTAGTTACATTGCTTCAACTAGTTTACGAAATTTCTTCAGAATATGATTGGTCATCTGAACTCGAGCCACTTTATTGTGGTCTTTGCGGGCACCTCGGCCATCCTCGCGAACCTCTGCCTCATTTTGTTGATAGCTAAACATAGGTGAGTCGCAACTTGGTGAACTTGTTCATAATTAATTGCAATGCAAACAAACAACTCTCAACTTCGAACTCTCAACCGATCAAATCGCACGATTAATACTTTTCCACTGGTGCAGCCATAAGTGCAGACCCGTAGCCAACTAGCCATCAGTGCAGACCCGTAGCAAATTAGCCATCAGTGCAGACCTGTAGCCAATTAGCCATCAAGTTTATCAGTTAGCCAAAAATTTTGCCAGAGAGGAAGGGAATTGATCTAAAATCAACAGATAAAAAAAATTCTTTGGCTCTGCCGAAATCTGAGAGGGCACGTGTCCCTACTCTTCCCCGCTTGGCTACCGGTCTGAACTTTAGAAAGAACCTCCTAAAACTAAAGATTTGAGGCCAAAAAAGCTCGTTTTTATTCGTTTCAGTCGTCCAGAGTTCGGTCGTTACAAGTATTTAATGCTCGTTTTTGCCACGAACAACATCTTCTCGCCAATATTCAATTTAATCCTAATGCCGGTTTGTCCACGCATCGAATTTTCTCTCAAGATTGAAAGAATGAAAATTTCTGATAGCTCATTGATTCTGCCTTTTCATGCTTTTCATGCTAGCTCAAAAAGATATCACATTATATAAAATAAAGACACCAGTGGTGCAAGCATTTTTATGCAATTTCCTAGACAAATTCAAGATTTCCTCATTGGTATTAGACTTAAAAGACGGTTTCTCCGTTTATCGTTTATCGATTGTAGAGATAAGGAACCAAATCTGTAGAGATAAGGAATCAAATCTGGAGAGATAAGTAATCAAATTTAGAGAGATAAGGAACCAAATTTAGAGAGATAAGATAACTTTTGGCCTCATTCAAAAACACACCATTTAAAAGTAGCCGATTTTGGTCGTTTTAAGAGAAAACTATAGTAGAAATATCCAGAGTTTAAAAAACAGCGTCAAACTTTGGGAAAAACGATGGAATGAGTTTCACCGCTTAATTCGACTATGATAAATCCGAATCTCGCCTCGAAATTGGACAAAATATGTTTTCTTTGCTACAATAATCAAATATGATATCTTTTTGAGCCTCCCTGTATACAGCTAGCGTTAACAGTTAGTTAGTCACAGCTTGTTTGTCTCTCCTGGGTCCTAATAGTAAGTTCCATTAGTTTCCATTAGTTTTTTAGGGTTCCATTATTTTTGCATTAAGATTTCATCAGTTTTCAACACAGTCAAAACGTTGTCCTATATCTAGGGTCTTCACGTGGTCGGCTACTCCTTTATCTTCTACGTGGCCAGTCCCCTCGGTGCCTATATCAGTGCATCGACGGGACAGGTTGGTTTAGAGTTTTTAGAAAACAAAAAGCTTTTTTTAAGTGGATGATGTTATACTGGTGTGTCTTATACGATCAACAGCTCATCCTAATCGTTTTCCACTTTCTCTATCGATATATAGCAATTTGCCAGTAAGTGCTTGAGATCTCATACTTGACAATAAGAAAATAATATTGTGAATAATTAGAGTTCATTTGATTCCATGGTTTCGAAAGACTTATGTCCAAATTGGACTGTTGATCTATGCGTTCACGGATCTCTCGACGTGGACCTGGTTCATGGAGACACAATGTTTCTGGTTGAGAGAGAATAGGGTGAGCCCGGTCAAATAATTCGGCTATTCAGCCATTCAGCCATTCAGCCAATATTAATTCATCGACTCCGTTAAATCAACTATAGTCAATGTAGTCTAATAGTAAATAAGAATACAATTAGCTTGCAATTCGAAAACTTTGCGACAAATTTTTCGAGTTGGTCCAAAAGAGCCAAAATCTAGTAACGTTCTGATTGTTTTCAGAGTGTCGATTATTATTACTACGAGTGGCTAAAGCTCTAAATATTTTAGCTGTTTTTGATCTTTCAGTCAGTCTTATTGAAAATCCTTTGATAGTTTTTGAGCAGTGCAAAAAAGAAAAAGCTAACTGAAAGGTTCATTTTTTCAAAATTTCAAAATTTTTTACCAGTGGTACATCAAAGAAGACTTCCTAAAATATTATGGAATGGAAATCGAGGGAGCTGCTCTTTTTGGGACGATTCTCACGGTTTTCCAATTCTATAGAGCTGCTATGTCACTTCAAAAATTTTAGTACAATGACACAAATGGCCATGAGAGATACCGGCCATACAGTGTACTTGCCGCCTCAATGAATTTCAGTGTTTTGCTCTACAAATTCGTTATCATGGTTTGGTGATCTTTGAGCTTTTATAAGGATTTATTTGAATAGGTCTGGTTCACTATTCAAATCCATCACACACTGAAATACGCCCAGATGAGTGCGAAGACGAAGAGACTACAAATGGATCTCCTACATGCGCTAATAGCACAGGTTGGATTAATTCCCTAAGGTTTTATTTGAAGAATTAAAGTCAAAATGACAAAAGTGTGTCGAAAAAGAGATGGTTATATTAACAAATAAAGCTTGACCAAGTTCTGTTCTAAAAAATCGGAGCTGGAAAACATCAAAAATCATGACTCTCGAAAGCGGTTTAAAAGGCTACTGGCTTAACTCATTTTCAATGCAGTGACATTCATTGCAGTTCAATGAATAGACCCAATCTAACCTGAGTTTGACACACTTTGTTTGTTCAATCTTTTTCATAGTCTCATTTCCAGACCGCTTGCCCATTCGTGATGGAGGGGACCCCGTGTCTCACCGTCCATGTTCTCGCCTTCTTCTCCATTCACATCAGTGATTGGTACGGTTTCTTGGTTCTTAATCATTAGAAAACCAATAACTCAAGTTAGACCTTTATGTTTTTTACAGCGTGTATCAAAAATTCGGGCAAAACATTTTGGCAAAATAACTAGCAGACGCCCATCTTATTTCCAAAGTGCCAAGTGTTATATAGAGAAATGAAGCCCTTGATCTTGGCTACATTTATCTACCAAAAACTTTCCGATCGAAAGTATACAACTCATTTTACAACTCATCTCAAATGAGCTCTTTTAAAAAGCTTTATCCAATTAAATTTGTATTAAGCAAATCGCCAAAAATGGCAGTGGACCGAGAAGTGGCCACCCAGAGCTTATTCAAGAGGCTCTAAAATGAGTTGTACACCATCAATCGGGAAGTTTTTGGTAGATAAATGTAACCAAGATTAAGGGCTTCATTTCTCTATATAACACCTTAAAAATCAGATGGGCGTCTGCAAGTTATTTTTCTAAAATGTTGTGCCAGAACATTTGGTACAGCCTGTAGTTTTTGAAGCTAGCTGAACTGCCTTGATTTGCTATTCTCCTACACACTCATTTGATCTTTCAGGTGTAGCTTTTTCTTCATCCCGGTTGATCTCTATCCCTTAATGGATGCATTAACAATGATCTATTTTATTCGGGATTATCGACGAGTTGTCATCAACAATTTGTAAGCCAATAAATTTATTACTTTAAGATTTGTATGCTTTAGAAAAAAGATGAAACTCGACTTATCACAAGGAACTCAACCAAAAAACACGGGCACTGTCGAGAATTTGACTGGGAGCACGAATGTGAAAACGGTTCGGACCACCCAAACTCATGAAGCCACGGACAGAACGGAAAAGGACGGTCCATCGAATTCATCAAACTTTATATAAATTCATCAAATATTCTATATGAATTATGTCATTGGAATTGTATCACTGGAGTGTCAACTTTTTTTAGCGCAAAACAGCTTTAGTTTTGTATGCCGATCGTTTATCGATCCGTTTCTAGGCTTCTTTTATTCGACGATAGTTTCCGTTTCGGGGGCATCTTTTGGGGGCATCAGGTATCGAGCAAGTCTGTCCCCAAATAGGACTCGGCCCAACCGTGATAGAAGCAAAATGGGTTATTCAAAATTTCTTGTTTATAGCTAGTCCCAATCTCATTTCCAACTCTTTTTTCTTAAATCTTAACCCACAACCTTTACGATAACTTTTAGAACATGCCCTTAAATTTGTACAAATTACGGTAAAGAAAATTTACTACTTTCTTCCTTACTTCCTAAATTCTGCATAAATCAGTTTCTAACAATAACCTTTCCCCTTCTTAATAAATTTTCCGAGTTTCTGATAGCAAGATAAGAACATTGCAATTCGAAAGCAATATAATATAACGGTTACTGGATTTCTCGATGTTCTAGGCTTAACTCGATCGATATTTATATGAAACATTCCTATAGAGGACAGCGATCTCATCTAACTATAATCTAAAAATTCACAAAAGCAATCTTTCCGAGATCATCCGATGTCACGTTTGCTGGATTCTTCAAAAATTCGGTGTAGTAGTAATAGGCAAGCAAAAAATGGTTTGAGCTAAACTGCTTGGAGTTGTCTTTCAATTGATGAATGTTCGAAAATTCATTTGGTTTCGTTTGGCTACCTCAATTTCGATTTGCACCAAAGTTTTCACTATTTAAGTTGAACTTTCTGAACTTTCTGAGCCAAAGAATCAAAAGCTAAAGCTGAATCTTTGGCTCAGAAAAAGCGTATACAGTTCAAATCTTTAGGAGTAGTTGCCGTGTTTTCAGTTTCAGAGAAAGCTAATAATAAACTGAAATTCGATGAAACTGCCATAACTTTAAAATGATTTCTTTCTCGAATACCCGCTCGAGGATTCAAGGCCATGGGCGATGGATCTCGATTTGAAAGGACCATCAAAGAGATCAAAAGCCGGAAAGCCGATGAGAAACACCGAGAAATCGACAGGTATTTTTTAGTATATCTTTAAACTTATGACATTTAAGCATGGTGCCCTAATCAGGTTTTGTTATTTTTCAAGTTTATCCGCACGACAGAAAATATTGTATCAACAAGGAAAAAATCTTACCAATTCTATGTTTTAGAAAGAATTTAGAAAATACTGCTCCTGCCACTGAGGCAAATCTATTAGACTCACAAAGTCTCTCATACATTTATCTCCTCTCTTATCATAAAATCCAGTATTCTCTTTCTCTAGTTTCCTTGATCTAATAGTAAAATTCCGGGTTTTTTTAGAAAAATGTCCGCTGATAAAATCGAGAAGCTTCGCCTCTTAGGTGGCGACAAGGTCTTTTGGAAGTCGATTCTCTATAAACCTTGCTATTTCCGAGATGACCGCATTAATACCCTTCCGATTCATAAAAGACGAGAGTACGAACAGAGAAATGGATTACGGCTTATCATAGTTTGTTCAAATTTTTTGCATAGACAACTTCGTTAAACAAAAAAAAGAATATAGTATAATATGGGAATAATCAGATAATTTTATTGCTAATCGGCTAGATAATTAGCTTCTAAAAGCATTCTAAAAGCTTCTGAAAGCATAATCAACCTTTTCAAACAACTTTGCCTCTGTTTAGACGAGAGATGGACAACGAAGGCGGGAGGTGATTCCCGGTGGAGCGCAAGATCGTGATTGGAGGGCGCATGAAGAAAGAGAAAGGCAGCTCGTGGTCGTTAATGAAAAACTGTCACACTATATTGACTATATCAACACTTTGCTGGGAAAATATCCATAGCTGTTCTGTTTTGTAAAATTATCACACGCTTCAAATGAAGCTATTTTCGATTTTCGAATAAAAATGAGCTTTAATAAGATGTGGTGTGATATGAAACTGAAAAGTACAAAATTAGGCATTTTGCCGAACTCTGAAAAATCTAAATAGTGTTTAAAGTATGAAATTTTCGAATTCAGAATCTACAATATAGAATTTACAATATAGAATACTTCTTCAACGGCACAAAAATAACTTTTTCCTCTAGTTTTAGCTTAAGCTTGCCATTTCCCGGCTTGCCAGTCTAACTGCAATATTACTGCCCAAAAATCAAGGTCAGGGTACTTTTTTATTGTAGTGTTTGTGCCCTTTTCTGTAATTTTTTCATTGTTATTGTTGAAATTGAAATGGAAAACTGTTTTCTTGACAGACAAGGCAGCCGGTACACCCACTTCCTTGTTATTCAAATGTTGGGGACAATAAATCAGTTGCACTTGACTGGGAGGAAACGTGGTTTTGAGATTTAAAAAATTTGATGGCTAAAAGAAACTTCTGGGCGTTCTGGGCGAAGTCCAATCCTACATATACGTCCTTGAGTTTCAAATCCCCCATATGCATATGCTCTTGACATTAAAATCACAATGGAAACTTATATCAGCTGACCAAATTGACAGACTAATTAGTGCTGAACTTCCAGATTGGGAACTAGATCCACGGCTTTTTGACATTGTTTCAAAATTTATGATTCATCGACGATGCCTTTAACTTCAATTCTCTACTTTTTTATTGTAGTGCTTGTGCCCTTTTCTGTAATTTTTTCATTTTTATTGTTGAAATTGAAATGGAAAACTGTTTTCTCTGCAGACAAGGCAGCCGGTACACCCACTTCCTTGTTATTCAAATGTTGGGGACAATAAATCAGTTACACTTGACTGGGAGGAAACGTGGTTTTGAGATTTCCACAAGACCGGTTTCAAAATTTTGGAGAATTTTATAAAAAATCACACAAAAAAAGCTCCATAGATCCAACAGATATAAACCATACTCCGCCGATCAACAGTTCTATTCGATTTTAAACAATAAACAGATAAGTTTCTTGAACCGTTCACTTTTCGTTTTTGCCATGACAGAAGAGCTAAAACCTATAATCTAATCTCTAGATTTTATTACTCTACTCTTTATTTTGATTTTATTGTTATTTTCGAGTAACGTTTCTTTCTATACGCCCTAATCTAGTTATATGATCCTGGCTTTAGGCATCAAGTGTATCTTATAAGGAATGAAAATAGGATCAGCGATAAAGACCGTATTGACTCTAGTAAACTATCATAGTTTTCTATTCTTGAGTATCTTGAGCTTACATCGGTTCTATTATACTCCGAGTTTGGCCGAGTTATTTGAGAATCACCATAAATCATTTCAGAGATGCGTTTTTACTCGATCCTTTTCGCGATGCTATGTGTGGTTGTGACCCAAGTTTGGGGAAGACCCTATGTAAACGCACACAAGAGAGATTTGCCAATGATGATCCACAAGAGAGAATTTGATCTGCCCATGATGATCCACAAGAGAGAAGCTGATCTGCCAATGATGATCCACAAGAGAGAATTTGATCTGCCCATGATGATCCACAAGAGAGAAGCTGATCTGCCCATGATGATCCACAAGAGAGAATTTGATCTGCCCATGATGATCCACAAGAGAGAATTTGATCTGCCCATGATGATTCATTAAAAACGATAAATGAGACATTTAGAAGTAACAGCTGTCTATTTATCCTGTCCTAAAGCTTTGAACGTAAAATAAATTTTGTCTCTTTCAGTTTCAAACATTATCTGCCGTAACCAAATACCGTCGAACTTCGATTCAACGAAACGTTCGATATAACGAATACTATTTTTGCTTCCAACGAAGAGTTTTACCTTAAGATGACCTTCGATACAACAAAGACTTCGATATAACGAACTTGTTGGTCTTGTATCTGATGTAACAAAGTGTTAACTTAATTAAAGACTTTCATTGAGATACAAAAAGTATTCGAATTGAAATATCAAAGCCTACCCTTGTGGCCATTTCAGACTCATGTTTGTTCGTCATGGTTTTCGCTTTTTCTGAGTTTTGACCAAAATTTCTTTGCTTTTATAGCTAAGCATTTGCAAATGTGACGTTTATTATACAACAGCTCTTTCCTTAGCTTGGTGGAGCGCCCCAGTCGGAGTATTTCTTCATTCCATCACCATCTCCATCATCAGCGTAGGCTCCATCATTACGAATCTCCCAATAGGTGAACTCGTTTGTTTGGCCCGGGGTACCGGGGCAGTCATCACTAAAATTAGATAGAACTTCAAGTAAAAAAGAGCGAGAGTAGGTGCTAAGGTCAAATAATCACGGTGAGATCAGGACCAGGCTCACTCTGAAATTTTTAAAGAGTTGTTGTAGACTTGCAGAACCAGTCATACAATGATCATACGCGAAAACCTCAATAATACTCGGATTCTCGCAAAATACCCGGATTTTATGCAAGAGCCAGTTGACACTTTTCAAGTTGAAAGTAAATCGACTTACAAATTGTTCAATCCCCATACGTTCTGATGAATATACCAGTTGCCCGAGTCGCGAGCCGCTTGATCGTTCGAATTCGCGTAACACCAGAAACACGTTCGCCCACCAGCACTCGAGCCGAAGTTCCATCCGAGGGCCTAGATTTAGCATGACTTCTTATGGAAAACGAGCGGGAAACCCACTTACGACGAGTTTTCCCGCTCGTGGTTTAGGGACCGCTCGTGGTTTAGCCCGTCGCAAAGTTTTCAGCTTTTCTATAAAATTTCAGGAGGTGCGAATTTCCTATGGAAAAAATTGGTATTCATTGGATTCAGAATAAAACTTTACATCAGATAATTCTTTTTCAAGAAGATTGATGCAAGTCTTTGAATTAGGGTGGAATATGGAAATTTCTCTCCCCCCCCCACCCAAAGTGGAGGTCCTCGGTTTAGACTAAAATAACTTGTATAGTTCTTCACTTGTATTAGCATTTTCACAAAGGTATAGATGAGTTTTAAAAAGTTGAATTTCCGTCTCCCCAACCCACATCTCCCGGTTGCAATGTCCACCAATCGTCCGAGTCCGACCCATCTCCCGTAATCGCATCGTCGGCCGATGCACACTTCAGAAAGATCGACGCTGTGGCCGTGTTGGTGACCAACACTTTGAACTCCTGGGTCAGACCGGCAATGATCTCTAAGGCTTGAGCGGCCGGCGCAGCAAAAGCTGAAAGCGAAAATCGATCCTCGATGTTATACAGGGTGTTCAATACAGGGTGGCTGAAAATTACGTGCGCGCAGCATCAGCATCATAGTTTTAAACAATGTATAAAGCATTACTACTTATCTTTTTGTGTTTTAATATTCTTTTTATCGTTGTCTAATAATTTTTTGTTAAAAAAGTTGTTTTCTAGGTCATGACAAAGACGTGCGCTAGTCGGGACGCAATCGCACAGCTGGCGACGAGCGGCATGAAGAACTCGTCGATCGCACCGAGGCTTGGGGTGGCTCTGAGGACCGTCCAGAAAATCGTAAAGCAATGGAAAGATGAGGGGCATGTTCAGTCCAAGCCCGGAAGAGGACGAAAGAGGACCGTTAACACCCAAAAGATGCATGGGATCATCAAGAGGAGGATCGAGATACATCAGATAATTCTTTTTCAAGAAGATTGATGCAAGTCTTTGACTTGGGGTGGAATATGGAAATTTCTCCCCCCCCCCCCCCTGGATGGAGAAGTTCTTGGAACGGCACAATTTTTCGCTTCGCATTCCTACAACGACCACCCAGAAGCTACCGGCAGATTTTGAGAAGGTCCTCGTCAATTATTTCCTCAATCTTGGACAAAAATTGGCTGAAAACAACTACAAATATGTGTTTGCGGCCGACGAGACTGCTGTCTGGCTCGATCACTCATCGAACAAGTGCATTGATTCGATCGGAGCGAAAGAAGTTGAAGTGCTCACAAGAGGTTACGAAAAACTCAACGTTACGGTGATGCTTACTGCCAGAGCTGATGGCTTTAAGATGAAACCGTTTGTTGTGTTACCACGAAAAAGAATGGATAAGAAAGTTGAAGAGAAGTTTCGCAAACGATTAATCCTTTATTGGAGTGGTAAAGAGCAAAAATGCTTCGATAACTCAATCACAACTGATTATTTGGAAAGGACCTTTCGGAGGATTGGGTTCTTTGACAAAAAGGAACGCTCTTTACTAGTATGGGATCAACACACGGCCCATCGAAGCGAATCAACGATGAAATCTTTGACAAAACTAAAGCTAGACTGCTTTTTTGTACCTGGAGGCACGACTAAATTTGTTCAATGTGCAGATGTTTCCTGGAATGCTCCCTTTAAAAAATATATTCGACATCAATATGAAGATTGGATCCTATCAACGGCACCCGAATTGACGAAATCGAAAGCTGATGGTAACCCCAAACCTCCTGCAATGGATGTTTATCTGGAATGGATTGCTTCGTCTTGGGAAAAACTATCTTCAGAAATGATTGCCGAGTCATTTAAAATCTGCGGAGTAGGAATTGATCAGGATAGAAAAGAAGATCATCTTATTCACTGCTTCCGCTCAGATGGCCCGATACCTTCCGGATTTAAAGCAATTCAGAGTGCCCGATTGGATAAGGAAATCGATAAAATTTTAGTCCCAAGCATCGAATCAGCAAATTTTCGTGAGCCTAGACAAGAGGCTGAATACGATTCTGATACATCCATTGCTTGAAATGCTGTTTTTCTTACATTCTTAGTTTCTGTTAATTTTTGTTGTTGAAATAAATAAATAATTCGATAAAAGTGACTTATGATCTCGAATGCTTTATTGGCACTACTATTTTTTTTATCGTTGAATCAACGTCAATTATGTGTCTAAGTACGCCTGCAGAGGGCTATCGAAAAATAAAAGCCCCCCCTCCAATAAATGCCCCCCCCCCCCCCCCCCTTGAGGGGTATCGAAAAATAAACGCCCCGGGGCCTTTAATAGAGTAAATACGGTATCAAACTTTGACAAGCTTAAGTCACCTTTTTCAAAACTATTGCCTTTCGCGTTGATTTTTGTCTAGAAACTCCCGTGACAAGCGCTCACTGTGGCACGGAGATAGGGCACATCAAGTTTGTCACAAACTTATGTTATGTTTTCTTGAAACAATCAAAACTCAAATATGATTTCAACATTTTTAATGTCCCATAAATTTGAAAACTGGTAAATAGTGAACCTTACCATTAAACAAGAATAGATCTGACCCAGATCCTAAATCTGACCCCTTCAGGTGTAATTTGGTGATCGAGTTTCAATGAATCGGTTTTTCGCATAACAAATGGAGTAAACAGTAAAAGTAAGTTAGCATTTCATGTTTTTTCCAACTCTGTAGTTCAGTGCTTTCTTAATGATTTGTGCTTTTTGGATTTTGGAGGCGCTAAACAACCTTCAGACTCAAGGTTTTCATAAATATTGAATACGATGTAAAAAAGACCGAATTCTTACCTTCATAGGTGGCACTGGCCGAGTTGGAGAAAACGAGTACTCCAAGGAAAAGAGCGCAAGAAATACTTTTGAAAATCATATTTGTACAGAAAATGGTTTTTCGATGAAGGAAAAAGCACAACATTTGACTGTTGAATTTGCCCTGCTAATCCTGTTATTTATATACTATTCTAGTTTATTTCAAACAGAATAGCTTTCATTCAAATTCGGGCAAATATTTTTCGTGAAAAACACATACTTTCCAATAAAGTCCCCTTGTTTTTGGGATTTGGTTTGGTACATTTTAATTTCGTGTTGATTCTGTCTACTTTGCCTTTGTGATCTATTCATTTTTCAATATAATATTCAAATCCTCCAAAAATGCAGTTTCCTGGGCACACGAGACACAAGAAAAACAACCTTTTCCCGGGTACATTCGACACTGTTTTGGCAAAGTTTATCGTATTTTTGAATATGTCACAAAAGCACCCACTGGCTTGAGCACCCACTGGCTTGAGCACCCACTGGCTTGAGCACCCACTGGCTTGAGCACCCACTGGCTTGAGCACCCACTGGCTTGAGCACCCACTGGCTTGAGCACCCACTGGCTTTAGCACCCACTGGCTTTAGCACCCTACTCGTTCAAGATAGGTAAGTATCGGCTATACACTGCAATCACTGTATTATATTTTGTTCGCCAGTTCAGTTTTAAATTCTTTGAATGTTATAAATATTTATTTCCTCAGTAAATTGGGTTGAAATGCCTATTGAAACGGCTTGTTCTGCCAACAGTTTATTGAGTGCGTTCTCTTCATTTTAATCTTTTTTTTTTTCGTTTTTTGGGAGAATGAATGATTAAACCCTTGGTTTTTTGATAAATAGGAGCGTTTTGATGAGTGGTTTGGTTTGGTTTCTCTATTAAACTTTCGGAAAGTCAAACATTACTGTAGTAAATATAATTCATCGCAGAATCAAAACAATAGCAAGGCATTACAAGAAGCCAAAATAAAAGAGAGAAAGAATGAAAAGAAACAAGCTTCGTTTTTGTGCTGTTCCGGATGGAAGTTTAAGCGAGCTTGGAAGAGGAAAAGCGAACAATGAGTACAGGGTGCGGCAAAAGTTCTGACACTTTTTTTCAAACGGCTGTATAAAATTTCAAAAAACAGTATTTGGCTCACTTTTTGTTTTTTAACATTTGTTAAACTGTTTTTACTGATTTTTAACAAGAAACAATGTTTTTGTTTAGGTTCGCTTTTAATATGGATGCTAAAAAGAGGCGCACTGCGATACTTGAGTTGCACAAAGCCGGAAAGATACCGATGGAGATTGTTCGAGTCACCGGATATTCAAAAAAAGTCTGCCTATCGAACCATTGAACGATTCAAGGAGCGGGGCAACGATCAGGACCGTCCAAGAAGCGGCCGATCAACCACAGCCGTCACTCCAGAGAACACAAACAAAGTCAGATGCCGAATCCGTCGAAATCCCACTCGTTCAATGAGAAAGATGGCCACAAGCCTCGAAATCAGCAAAAGAAGCGTTCGAAGGGTTGTTCATAAGAAAATTGGAATGTTTAGCTACAAATTTGCTCGGGCTCATTTCCTGAACGACGCCATGAAGCAAATGAGGATGGCTAAAGCGGAGAAGATGTTGCGCCTGGTCGCTGCTGGTCGTTTGGACAAGGTTGTGTTCACAGATGAGAAGATCTTCACCGTTCAACCGATCCACAATCGTCAAAACCATCGCCAACTTCTCAAGCGAGGTCTGAAGAACACTTTTGCAGCCAAATAGATGATCCGCCAACATTTTCCGAAGTCCGTTATGGTGTGGGCCGGCATCTTTGCCACAGAAAAGACGTCTCTTGTGTTCATCGATCGAAATGTGAAAATCGACGCTAAGGTCTACCAGCAAAAGGTGTTAAAGGATGTCTTAGAGCCCTGAGCAGCGAATCATTTCGGAAAAACTGGATTTACCCTTCAGCAGGACTGGCCGCCGGCCCATGGAGCCCGCTCGACTTTCGCTCTCTGCAATCAGCTGTTTCCGGGCTACTGGGGTAAGGACATTTGGCCGTCGAAGGGCCCCGATTTGAATCCCCTGGACTTCTCCGTTTGGTCGATCTTGGAAGAAAAGATCTCTGGCAAGAGATTTCACTCTGTGGATTCCATGAAAACCGCTTTGAAGAGGGCCTGGGCTGAAATCACTGTTCAGCAATGCGAGACCATCGTCGGCAACTTCCGCAAGCGATTGAAGAAGTGCATCGAGGCCAAGGGTGGAAATTTTGAACATTTGTTATGATTTTTTATTAGTTTTGTCTTCAATAAACAATTTGTTATCATTTTTTTGACTAATATTGCCAAAGTTTGCAACTTTTATTTCTCTTCGAAAAAGTGTCAGAACTTTTGCCGCACCCTGTAGTACCCGATTTTAGGTCCCAACAATGAGAGCTTCACCGTTGGTAGTGTTGTTTGATTGGCCGTTTATTTGATTGATAATTAAAAGCAAATTTCAGAGATAATCAGAGACATATACTTAAGATCAAAATCGAATCATCAGCAATCATCATTGACACTAGGAAAAAACCTTTTGTGATTATTAGAAGCAATATTCAATTTCAATAAGCGAGCTTGGAAGAGGAAAAGCGAATAATCGTCGAGGAATGCCACCAGTTTTGCTAGGAAACCGCTAGGAAAATATGAATAGCTTTTATCAAAAAATACATAGACTTACACTTTTTGACTTTTTGAAACTTTATCTAGAATTTCAGGAATTGCTAGAAATTGAATAGCTCCGAAGATTTCAAAAGGTAATCCTAAAATCCGAGAAATTCAAGGTGGAATTAGTTGTGTGTCGAAATTTTGCCACCTCTGCATAGATTGTAAAGAAAACTAGGATAAAGCACCAGAACGCATTTGATCTGCATTGTTCCGTGACTCGATGAAATAAACGCTTGATTCATTGAATGACTTGATTATTTTTCCACCTACGATTTGTCAACGTAAATAATCATATTTTCTTCTACAAAGCGACTTTATGCAAGGCAATGTGCATTGATTACTCAAAGCATGAGAAAAATAAAAACTATGAAAATTTATTATGTATTGTTCATCATCAAGTAACCTTAGAAAGTGTCCTAAAACGAGGTTGTACGGGCTTAACAGAGAAACTGGAAATTCTTTGATGATGAGGAGGGAATTTCTGGATTGGTTTTCCGAACAACTCTAGAAGCCATCTTCGATAGCCTTTCGAGTATGCGATAATGGAAATTGAAGAGAGAAGGGTATGCGATTCGACGATGGCCACCAAGACGTTGCACACAACTGAGAAGAAATCACAAGATATAAAGGAAACAAATGAACAAACCTGGTGGAACGGGCGACTCGCTGAGGTAAATATAGCCAAAGCCATAGTAAGGTACGGCCACCGAACCAATTGGCACTGCTATCTGGAAATTGGAGAATGAAGTTTTCCGGAGACCAATTAGCAAGTGGGCTTAGGTTGGCATCGCGAATGTTAACAGTACTATGTATTAAATAAGTAGAACAAATCCTAGATATAACATGCGTCTACAATCCTGTTTCGGGAGTAGGGGGTTCCACCATAGTTAGAGGGTCAACTTAGGTAGGCTCAGGAGGTAAAGCGCATGTAGCAGGAGATGCATACGAGACATGTGCGCTCGTCCTTATCAGTCGGTTCGATCTCCGGTTCGGACCAAAGCCCCAACTTTTTTGTCCGATCTAATCTGTTACCAGATCAAAATGTACGTTTCAAGTCAGAATAGATCTGGCATCGGATTCCACCACATAACTTTGATAGACAATTTGGCAATGTTTTCGAATCTAGATTTTGCTCTAGGTGTTACATCATAGAAAATGTTTTTTTAATATAAATATTTAATAAATCTTTAAATCAGATGCATAAATAAAAACAATCGCCGCAATTCCGCCGTATATGAAGAATATTTTTCAACGAGAGCAAAGAAAATGAATCAAAACAATACGAATTTATTGGGGGTATCTCGACTCTTGGGACGACCTCTTACCCCCTAATACATGTCTTGCATAAATTAATCTCTTGGCTTGCCAAGAATCCCTCGCCCCTGATAACGGAAAGAATCCGTCTCTCAAGTATGTGCCGTACCTCGGCAGAATCCTAAATTCATCTCTTTCTACGGCAGTAATATCTCCTAGGGGCACTATATATTGTTGAGAAGTACCTACATACATAAGCTACCTTTACATGCACGGTGCTCTCCTGAAAAATACAGTAAGTTCATCTTTCGTTCAGATGAAGAGCTCAAGTAACTAACCCCCAACATCAGAACTTTCAAGTAGTCCCGATGCATTGCTTTCGTCTTTGCACTCAAATGACTCAATTCTTGATATAGAAGGTAATATGAATGAGAGATCATGAAAGCCACCTAAAATAGAGCACTAATGTTTGTCCCATTGTTCTTCTCACCGTGACAATAAAATATGTGATTCCTACAACCATCGAAATAAGCGTAAATGTCGAATTGGAAATCATGATAATCGGTGGAAGAGCTGGAGCGGCTGGGGACATACAGAAAACATCGGGGATACTTAGAAGAAAAGCATGTGTGGGATATTTCTAAATTGACTTATTTGAAAAAGAATGCCTTTCCCCGCTTAGCCAACGCTAGTCCCATTCAAAACAATCTCCTTTATAATGTGTCAACTCTCAATAATCTGTGCCTCTCAATGATGTTACCTGTGTTATTTCGACCAAATAGAGACGATTGGGTGCATCGGATCCGATGTGAAGAGTCCAAAAGCTCAAAGCAATGATTGGGCCAAAGGAAATGTAGTTGAAGATGAGGCAAATGTAGAAGCCCTTTGTATGAAATCTGCAACAAGTTTGAATTCAAATTTCATGTGGCCATAAGCTCAGGAGTACAATACAATAGAGCTGAGCTAGGATGCATTTATGCATTTAACTGATATTTTTGACTGATTTCATTTATACTGCTCTGTACTCATCATCAAATTAATCCGAGCAAACATTGGACACTTTATAATTAAGTGACATTTATATCATATTGTAAATATAACTGTAATGGTCGAAATGTCTGACCGACAACTC